AAAGCCAACTGATTCCATGTGTTGAGAGACCTTGGCTCCAGGTTTACGTACCACTTGTAAGCTCTATCAGTAAGAAGGAAGTGATCGTTTCCAAAAGGCCCCAATGCCTCTATAAACTGCACCACATGCTCCCGCGGGTTGCCCCTCCTGCCGTCGAACTTACTGAATTTTGGTGCGACATACCCTTGGGGGTATGGAAGCAGTGCAACAGCTTGAGAATAAGGCCGCTCGGGGGCCTCCTCTTGGGAGAGTATGGACCTTCCATTTCACAATAACGACTGGAGGTCCGCCAAGGTCACATAGGGTGAATGTTGGGCCAACTCCTGCGGGTAATGTGTGCCACCGGGGATCTTTTCCTCACAAACAGCTTCCCTGTGGCTACACTCGGGCACACCTGCCCTAACTAGCGTTGTAAGTAGGGTGCTGAATAGGGCTCGGCGGGCCCTAGTGGTCGCCTCCCTCGGCCGTCTAAGAGAACTAACCAATCGTCTCCCCTCTGAAAACGAAGGATATGCCCGGCGTACCGGCTGATCCGGGGTTACCTGACTTTCGTCGAGTTCGCAAATGAAACCGCTACGCTGTTCCGTCGCGCGTCGTGGGATTCCATTGTTGGCGATGTCTCTGAGCAGGGCTATTACTTCGCTCTGAGTGTCTTCTAGCTTCTCCATTCGGTACGCTAGCGAGTTATGGGCTTCGACCAGGGCCTCGGGGAAAAGAATCGTCCTTCCCGGGTATCGTGCTCCTGGGACACTACTCGCGGTCCCGTCATACTCCTCTCCGAGGGAGACTCCCTCCTGAGGGCTAGGGCTAAATTCATGCACACTTGACATCGTGAAATACTCATCCCCAGTGAAGTCGCCAAAATGTTGATAGTGGTTCGGGATGATATGAGGATTATATTCCACGTGAGTTGGGAGTGCTGAGATCAGTATCCAAGTGGGGACCCAAATAACATAAAGGATTCCCTGGAACTCAGGGATTGAGAAAGGGAAGGCAATGTACGGTGATACCCAGTAGGTTCAAGCTCGATGGTAATTGGTAGTTGGAAATCTCTTAACTCTGCCTTTAAGGCTAATTAACTTCTCCTATTTATAATGCCTCCGAACGGTCAATATCTGTCGGTTACAGAGGTGAGTTCCCTCTTGTCCGAGGGATAGAGGACCCCTTTCTCTGACAGATGGGACATTGCTCATCGGGTGGAGATACCTCCCCCCTTTAGTCCAAAGAGGAAGAGTCGCTTTGCCCCCCAGTCTAAAGGGAAAATGGCGCTTCCTCATTAATGCTAGTCATGTCGGCGTCTTTCATAATTAATAACCTCTTTTAACCCCATCTAGAGCTCGACCATGGGTATCGGTATCCTTTCCCCCTTGTGCTGACCTTCGAGAGGCGAACCCTTGGATCCCAGCCACCTGTCCACATTTTCTCAGACTCCTGATTTTGAAGATAGAGAACGGATCTCCTCAAGGTATTGCCTTCTTGACCTTGCAAGATCTAGTTCGAATCATGGCCCCCCGAGACTCCCGCGAGTTTAGAGTGAGGGGAGCTCGGGGTAACAGACCTTGGTCCTCGAATTCCATTCAGATCTCAGGTCGGGAATTTGAGGTGGCCAGACTTCGAGGTCCCCTCATGTTCATGGCGAGGGGAGCTCGAGGTGACAGAGGTAATCATGCACCCGAGGTCCGTCTGCAGGTACGGACCTCGAGCGATGGATAGTGCAATGGGGAGGGACCTATCCGAATGGAGAGGGGTACGTCCTTAAAGGAGTGAAGGGTAGCGACCCCTTCCTCGCCAGTATTTCCAGTCATGAGACGAGCAGCTCAGGATTACTTGTCCCCTTGATGACACGGCAGACAGATTCCGGCTAAGTGTGCCTATTGAGACAAGTGGGATCACATAAGCAAGTGATACGAAACTTCTGTTCGATGAGGTACCACATAGACAGGTGATGTGGCGAGTTCATCAACATAGATAATATGTTCTATAAAATGTTTTGGGGGATCGATGCTCTAAAAAAAAAATTATAATATGTTCCATCAAGGACCCATATTGCAATTAATATTACATGCTGCAGCAACTTTATTAAGGAACGTTGCAATATGGTTAGCAGGACAGCCTTAATGTAACTGGGCATATGATAGAATATACATTCTATTATTTGTAAGGATAAAGTGAAAAAAAAAAAAAAAAAAAAACCCTCTCTTATAAGAAGTGTGTACAAAACACTGTACTGTTTGTTGTGTGTATAAAACTCCTTACGGTATCATGAAGTGTTGCAGAGTGACCTCTTCCATCTACTAACCATTAAAAAATAGTCGTTATCTATTAAAAAATATTAAATATATCAGATATTTTTAATGCAATCAATTGTATCAAAATGACATTTGTATTTATAAATTTTGCAACTGTTACACTATAGGTTTAATTATATATAATATGTAATATGCATATTAAATATAGATATATTTAATGCAATAAATTATATCAATAAATATTTGTATCCAAAAAATTTGCAACCGTAACACTGTAGATAAAATTTTATAATGACTATAAGTATATAATTTACAACTACTACACTATAAGTTGTCTCATTTCTTTTCTTTTTCTATTAACATTTTCGTCATTTTCGTCATTTTCTTGCTCTTTAACAGAAAGATTGTGCATTGCCTTTATTTGATTTGAAATATTAGGAGTGTTTTCAAATTGTAAGGGGGTTTATTCACACTTTTTAGTTAATTTCTATATATAAAAGAGGAAATGTTTTGCACTTCGCCCAAAAATTCAAAGAACGATTTAAAAAATAGAAGTTCTTTTCAATCGCCTACCAAAATCACATAACAATATTATAAAATGATCGAAATTTTGAATTCTAAACATTCCTTCTTCAGAGGAAAAGCTTTCGTATTTGTCATCACAGAGAGAAAAGAGAAATGGAAAAGAATTTACATGTAATACTAACCATAAGCGTGCTATCTTTACATGGCTATAAGAAGCATTCGATCTGTATATGATATGACAAATGCTCCAATCCATACCATACAATATAATTCAGAATAAAAGTTATATTTCAGACCTCCAACCATTAGCTTGAGAAAGAATTCAAGTCCCAGTTTGGACAAAGATGGTTATGTGTATTTTTTAGGAGTGACAAATTACGACACGACACGAGTTAAAAAGATTTGGGTTTGGCATAAACGAGTTTGGGTTATAAAAGGGTCGACACGATTAACCCATTTACTTAATCGTTTCGGATTAGGATTGAGAAGTTTAACCCGTATAACCCGTTTATGACCCATTTAACTCAGCATGTTATAATTGTGAATATGAATTATGTAATATGTTATATATTTAAACCCAATTACTATAGATAATTAAGTCATTTCAATATAAATCTTGCCTATGTTATATGATTTTTCTTTTCATTTTGAATATTTGGGTTAATTATGACAATTTTTTTCTATTATTTCATATTTGATTAAATATTAAATATTTTGTTTTGATAAACAGGTCATTAAATAGGTTAACACGTTTACCTGTTTGACACGATTATTAAATAGGTTAAGTTTGAATTTACCTATTTCATATAATACCCTTACATCGACATAACCTACGAACACGAATTGCCACCCCTAATATTTCTCTTACTTATTATTATACACACGCACAAAAGCAGCCAACAATTTGGCTGATGAACTACCGTGTGATTTTTTTCTTTTGGGTAAATAATTACTCACCACAGTTAATAGCAACACTAAAATCGTATTTTAGGTCTGGAGTTAGCTGTCAAGAAAAATATTAAGCAAAGAAAAAGTAACAAGATTTTATTATGTAGGAATAAGATGTCCAACCTGGAATCAAGCTCCTGGACATCATCCTCAACCAACCACTATAATAAGAAAAAAGAGAAATCAAGATTACTTTAATAAGAAATCTTTAGATATACAAGAAATATGCTTTAAGTTAATTCGTAGATAAACTTTAGGCTGCTGGGTGGTTGAAATATAGTGTCATGATTTGTCTTATTGCTCCATGGAATAGCCCTGCAGAACTATTTAAATTTCCCTCTGAAATTTGTTTTTCCATTTGACGATGCTACTTTTGATTGCTAAAAATATTTGGGGAAAGGGAAAACAATAGAGGAATAACTTCTGAAGAGCCTCTTCTACCACAGCCCATCATATAATTGCAAGCTTTCATTGGTTTCCCAACGGTTCCAACCAGTAGTCAGATCAAGAATAGATGAATTTATAATCAAATCTCTTGAATATGTCTGAAAAAATGTTCATGCCAATGAATAATTAGAGTTAAATATGTCATGACAGTGAAAGACTGGTGTCAGAATGTGGAGATTTGACTGTAATACAACGACCTAGCTAACAAAGATATAAAAGGAACATTTTCTTTTTACCAAGTGCAGTAGAGCAAAGTGTCACCGGAAAGAGAAACAAATTGCCATGAAATCACCCACAAGAAATAGCAGGATGTCACCTGTGATTGTATAAGCATTAAACAATAAAAGTCTCAACTTCCATAAGCTCCAAGCATGAAAAACCAAATGGACTAATCTAAATCCAATTTCAGCTATTACGAAAGGATTTGACAATTTGTCTATTTCAAGATCGCCAGCCAACATAGGGATTTGAGCACCCACCAAAACCCCAACAATCATTATTATGGGGTGGGGCAGGCAACATAGGGATTTGAGCCCTTGTATTGAAATGCTACATTTGTATAGTGTATGTACATTGCAAGATAGATGAAAGGTGTATAGCACCAAGCTATTCCTCAGAAAGCAGCCATCTGAATTAGAGGGGAGATCCTGGATCTGTGTTTCTCTAATGTCAAGAGCTGCCTCCAAAAAAGTTCTTGGGGAAATGATGAGGGAGATACTTCTCAATGAATGCAGGGAGTAATACCACACGCATATGTCATGTTACAAGGATCCAAAAGGATGATAATGGCATGTCAAATAGTTTTAACTGCAATAATAAATTCTTAATGTGAATCCTTTGGTTCAATTGATTGAATTTATGAACAAGAACACAAAAAATAATATTTTAGTGTTATCCCTAAAAAACAATATATTAGTTAAGTTAGCACTAAATATCAGAACATTATGCACTACACAACAATTATGATATTTAGTTGGCAGTGAACCATCTGTGATAATTGTTTGTAGGATTTATCGCTCAACTACATGCTTCAAATACCTTTCCAAACGTCTCAATGTTTCACCTTATATTACACATTGAGCCAAAACAAAGGAAAATGAAGAAACCAACGATACTCACTAAAGGTCAATATATGTTGGTTATATACCTCATGCTAGGAACCCAAAATGGGGCCCTCTGGAGCAATAATTGTCACACGAAGCACTGCTAGAGCACTTAAAGGTGAGAGCTTTGACTGACAGAAGTGCTTCCAAGAACCCATCTCTGCGTCCTCAGATACTGTACTTGGTAATTGAATGTGAGATTTCTGGTATACCACTTGGAGCTCCAACAGGAGAGTACGAGCAGCTATCCTGGACTCGGGAAGTTGGTCACTGAGCTGAGATGCAGCTATTTGGATCAATTTGTCTATCCCATATGCCTTGATTCCCTCAGTTCCCTGTAACAGATTATTACAATGGCACTACTTTTAAGAAACATTGAAGGGGACACAAACTGATGATTGGCATCGATGAACAATAAAATGCAAAGTTCACGTATTCGGTTCTACAGATTAATGGTTTGCATGGCAGTTTTATTTTATTTAAAAAAAAAAAATTGCACAGTAAGCATAATAAAGTAGTAAGAACAATAACAGAAGATCCAAAACTCCCTCAAATAACATTTCTATCTAAAACCCAGGACAGTTGTAAAGTAAGTGTGCCTCATGGTCTAATTGCAGGTAGCCAGGTAATTCTGCTAAAAATCGTGTGGTTTTTTTTTTTTTTTTAATCAAAGGTTTTTCATGCTTTGTTTCCTAAAAATTTTCCATTGATTTCACAAAGAAGTTCAAGGTGGATAAACGACAGTTACTTATGTCAGTCTAAATGACAAATGCCTGAGCAGTAGGGTTAGACAATTATATGTTATTTTCTCTTTATCAATATATAGATTTTTTCAGTTGGCGCGCAAGGTAATGTGATAAGAAACAAAAAGGTCATTAAGAAAAAAGAAGCAGCAGAAAAGTGAAAGATAGGGATTCTATGAACTCTAATGAAAAATTGTACTCTTACTATCTATTTCAATTGGAGGTATATTTTGGTGGGGTCTGCAACTAACGTGAACATTCTACCCTAGAAGGCTTTGTGAAGCCCTTTCTCCTCGGCTTTTGTAAGTGCATGACAGAAAGAGCTATGGAAAAGGAAATAGTTGGTGACAGTTTCTGTATTGGCTCAGAGCACCCAGCCTAGAGAGTGCTTGAGCATGGGAACAAATTGCTAGTTTAGAGACCAAAATTAGGTGGGTTCCAATCAGCTTAGGATGGTGCTCATTTCTTGGCTAGGTGGATTTCAATCAGCTTAGGATGGTGCTGATTTCTTTGCTAAGTGGGGTGCTATCATGCCAGTCTAACTGAGAGGGTTTTGATCCCCTTGAGAAAGGGCTAGCTTTTTAAGGAGATACTGGTTTCATGTGCCTTCTGTCTTTGGTCTTTTTGATACTTTAAAGTGTAATAGATCACTTCGATATTATTCTTTTCAAAAACCAAGTGAGTTATAAAAGATAAACTTCTACTTCACAGGCTGGTAAACAATGACGAAAGACAATCTAAACTTTTAACATTTTTCTCTATTACAGAAAAAGATGGGAAAAAATAAATACTCAAAAATATATTAGGGAATTCAGTAATTAATTTCTGAGGTCTAATACATACCAATCGTGGTACACTTTGACAAAAGCACATTGAAGCCTTGGCTCGAATTCGAGGATTCCTGTTCTTAAGATAAGGTTGCAACTTTGGCAACAACAAAATGGGGGGAACCCAAGTAGTCATGGCTATTAAAGCTCTCTCAGCTGCCTCACATACAAATCGTTTGTCTTGTGAAGACATGAGAAGAAGCTGTACAAGCTAAACCAAGGACATTTGATCGCATTGGGTAAAAAATAAAGTGATTAGTTTACACGAAAAGAAAGAGCCACTTATAAAAGAACAAAGTAAATGAAGCGACAGTTGAATTATCAAAGAAATGAAGTTACCAGAGGGTCCAATGAATCAATTATGTCGTCACTATATGCACTGAAAATGTCTGAAGATGTCATGATTGCAGTTTTACAAACAGTGCTTCTCGGATTCTTTAGGGATTTCACAATAAGGGAGATCACATTCCCTCTGTTCATCAAAATACAATTGCAATTAATAGGACTTGTTAAACAATGAAAGTTTAAGAAATAATCATACTAAAATGAAACAAAGAAAATATGTATCCCATAATTCTGCCAGTCAGATCATCAAGTCAACTTACAACATGTCAACCATCGCTTCCTTGTGATATATAGATAATTTGCGTACATTATTGAGTGCCTCGCACACCAAAACCCAATCTTTGGAGTTCAAACCAGCTAACAGTGTCTGAAAAGGAAACAACAATGTGCTAACATCACATAACCAGGTCATAAAATTAACAGATGCAATATAATTCAGAACCCTTAGCTAAGTATCATGAGGTATTTATAAAGAACATACTCCTACCTTAAGACTCGTATCCACGTCCTCTACATCATCTAAATTCTCAGATTCAATATATTCCATTTCTGAATTTCCTATCGTTACCTCAGCTTTCATAATTTCATCTTCATGGATTGGAGTTTCAACCAAGGAGTCAGCATTTTTATGGTGCCTACCCTCAAGGTTTTTGTTAATATGTTCAACATAAGGGTCAGAAAGTTTATCCTTGTTGAAACTCTCATTCATAGTCTCACATCCCTGTAACATATTGAGATCTCTGAGAGCTTTCCCTGACAAGTGAAAACACTGTAGGGTTTCAAAGCCTGAAGAAGAAAACAAAACAATTCAACATAAGCAGTTCCTAAAACTTTTAAAGCAGAGTTGAATCCATCATACGTAAGAAAACAAACACAAACAGAATTAGCATGACTAAATAAGCTTAAGAGCAATGGAAAAGGTCACGTTCAAATTTGAATTAAATGTTTCTTTGTTTACACCGTGCAAAATAAAAATACTCTTAATTCTTTTTTTTCCTTTTGATAGATGTAGGGTATTTAAGGATTCATTTGCTGAGCTTTGATGGAGTAGAGTTGTCAGACAAAAGAAGAAGGGAACACAAATAAGTATCACAGCCAGTCCACCCATTCCTAAGTTGTCAATCTTTACCAATATTCAAATAACAATATTTATCTGCTTTAGCCTACTGCTCTAACTTTTCCAAGTTTGTTTAAAATTCAAATAAGATTTGAGATTTAATTCTATTTTCACTTCGCTGCCAAATTTGCTATTAAGAATTCACTCTAGCAATAAAACACATTAAGGACTAGCCCAATGCATGAGACTCCCGCCATTGGGGGTCATGGGAGAGTAAGGTGTATGCAACCTTACCTTTGCATAGAGAGGCTGTTTCCGATTTCAAACCCGTGACGTCTAGGTCACAATGGAGCAACCTTACCATTGCGCCAAAGCCCACCCTCTAGTAGTAACATTGAATCTCATAAATTCACCAGCAAATTATCCTTTTCGTTGAGACTATCTATATGCACAATATATAAGCTACCTCCTCATTCTCGACGGAACCATCTTTAACCAAAATCATTGTTATATGTTGACACATTCCCTTTCAATAACTTGATTGCTTTGGCAAAAGGATAAAGTTTCCTCAAATTTATCATTTCTCACTCATTCCTCTCAAATATAGAAAATTTTCAACTTTCGGCTTTATAAATTATATATATACATATACATATATATTGTATGTCATGCATTTGCATATATGATGCTAAAGGAGTATCGTTGTGCCAAAAAAAACTGAAAATGTAAATTACAATATTAATATGTCAAAACTCATAACAATACATCTGAACAACTTCAAAAGTACAAGAACAATAATTCAAGCAGAACACGATGATTTAGAATACCTACAAAAATAAAACTGTTATACTTGAGCTTCATTTCTTTATGTAAGTGTAGCACTAAAACTCGTTCACCCCTGTACTATACTATACCAACGCCCTATAAAAATATTCTCCAAAAAACCAAGCGCTTAGTCCAAGTGGTATCTCCTTCTCTTTCAAATAGAAGGTTGAGGGTTTGAATCCCCAATGGGACAAATGGGTATCTATGAGATTAACCTACTCAAAATGTGGGGGAAGACATTCTCACCATATATATATATATAATAACCAAACCCTATCCCGTCCTGATTTCCCCCAAAACAAACAGAAATCGACAGCTTAGTTTATATTTTGCAAGGCAAATATGAAAAGTCACAGTGAGCATCAATCAAGCACTCAATCATGCTAATAATGCATATTGAACTGTAGAAACAAATAGTAGTTAGTAGAGAGAAACCTAATTCAACAAAAAAGAATATAGACGGAATTGGAGATCCAAGGTTCAATTACGGGACAATGTCTACCGTATCAAATAGCAATAAACACTAAACAGAACGCATTACATGTATAAATGGCATACAGAGTTAGAATGTTAAAACTCATTCAAGTGCAAGATCTCTCTCTATACTACATTTTATGATCGTGATCTTTGAGTTTAAACTACAAATTCAATCCGATTCCAGTGACTCTTCTAACAGATTCGAAGCTCGTATTGGACGAACCAGTAATTGAACATCGAACATTTATATATATACATAGACACAAATGTGTGTACGTATTCAGAGAAAGAGAGATTACCACAGAAGAGGAAGCGAAATGATGGGCTAAAGCAGTGATGAAAATGCTTCAAATCTTCTCTCTGTATATTCGCAGCGCAATGATTGTGTAGAGAGAGAGATTTGTAACCGGCGAAAGGCTCTCTGCTATATGCGACGCCGCTTTTGTTACCCGACCTTGGCCGGCAGACACGGGTCCTTAGCTCGTTGCACGTGACCTCCGAAAATATAGGACAAATACCCCAAATTTATAAAATCGGCTTTTACAGGTCTGGAAGGAAAGGCCTAATTTGGAAAAGGTTTCTAGTCAAAAATAATAAGGGAAAATTAGATGTTGGTAATCAAATGTAAATAAAATTGTTAAAAAGTGATTTAAAAATTGAAAAAAAAAAAAAAAAAAAAGATAGATAGTGACTAATTGTAAAACTTAATTATTAATAAGTGACCATTTGAGGACAGTTTGGTAAAACAAAAATACTTACTTGTTTATAAAATATTCTAAAAACAAGTTTTAGATGACAAAATTGTTGATTCATTCTCCATTCTCTTTCTTGTTCTATTTTTTTTTTTTTAGTTTGTAACTTACCATTTAAAAAATTAAAAATCCTTTAATAACCTTATATCTTAAATTTAGAATTTTTTTATTAACCCTTTTTTTTTTTCATGGCTCTTCACCATGATTGAGAAATATGCTAAGCGAATATTATATCCATAATTATAATTTCTATAAATTTACATACTTTTATGTTTGATCGAATTACACACACACACACATATACACCTCTTCGTCTTTATCTGAATTGCCGAACAACAAAAGTTTTTAATGTTGAGGATAAATTTGTTCAATTAATATATATATATACACACACACACACAATAAGGATATTTATGTAATAATCCATCAAATGGTCACGTGTTAGCAATTAAATTTTAAAATCGGTGACTATTTATCTTTTGTGAACTTTAAGGTCACTTTACAGTAATTTTGTTTAGGTGTGGTCACCAAATTTCAATTTTCCCAAATAACAATGAGGGCTAATTTTTATTTATTCGTGCTACTTGCCCTCTCTTTAGAAATGTTTCATTCGGTTTCATAGAATCGAGAGATGTCTTGAAATTAGAATTGTAAAAAAAAATTGGTTCAACATAATTTTTTTTTTATATATAATAGAAATGAATGAAGAAATGCTAATAGTTTTATATCAAATCTGGAATTTTTGGTTCTTTTCAAAACTTTTACATTATAAAAGAAACATATTGAAACTAACGATGCAGCAGCAAGACACTAATCTAAAAAATAAAAGTGCTGTAATAGTGCATTAATTAATATTCAAATACTATGTCATTATTCTCAAAATTTTACATTAAAAAAATTAAAAATACAAAATACACAAGTTGAGTTAATAAAATTAAATAAAAAGAAGAAGGGAAAATAGATCTTAATTGGTTCCACCCCTGATCATGGGTTACAGGGAGCAAATTACTTCTATGAAACTTGAATACAAATGAAGATGTTAGTGAGAATAAAAACATCAATGGAAAGCAACAATTTTTTAATTAGTTTTTTTTTTATAATTTTAATTTTTTAAATTAATTTTCTTCGATTTTAATTTTAATACATCAATTTTATGCGAGCTAACAGAACAAGAGAATATTTTAATAAATTTAAACATGTGTCATATAATTATATTATTATGTGATTCAAAGGAGCAAAGTAAGCTTATATAAGTGATGTGTGTGAATTTCTTTGTCAATGACAAAAATATATATATCTCATCATGTGATCATTTAAATTATTTTGTTTCATCATGCGCTTTATGACCTTAATGAACATGACGTGATCAAGCATTTAAAATTTTAAATCTGGATAAAGCATTTAATGGTTGCAGTTTTGCTGCTTAATGTGTTGTACACGAATGCAATAAATAAAATTGAAGTGTAATATCATTTGTGCAATAAATATTATATATGTTAGTTGTAACACTACAATTTTGAGGTAATGATATTTACACTTTAATTTAATTTGTTTCACAGGTGTAGAGTATATGCGTATCTGATTTAATTTTTTGTGATATTTGACTTAATCTTTTTGTTTTATTTGTAACAATACAATTTAAAAAGATAGATAATAGTAGAAGGACTTCAAATGTAAAATTTAGGCTAGAAAGAATTCAAAATGAAACAACACTATGAAGGTATATATATGAATGCAGATTCCAGTAATTTCACTAAGTTTTAGGGGTGATATACCACTTGACTACTGTTTATTTGTCCGTTTAAGTTGGGTCCACGATCCTATCAAAGCTGGCTTCATGTTGACATCAATTAAGGTAAAAGTCTTCGATTATCTCATAGTTTTACTTAATTAGTCTTAGGATTGTGATTCCTAATTATAACTTAAAATAAAAAAATAAATTTATGATGGAGATTTTTTTTTCTTTGTAACTATGGGTGGTGAAAGTGAGAGGGAGAGAAGGGTTGTGTTAGGAAGGTGGTTGGTTTAACCCGTTCACATTTTATTTTATTATTATTATTTCAATTTCATAAATTTTGGTACATTTTGTGTCAACTAGAGCTTTCTTCACAAGTAAAAAGATAATTGAGTAATGATTGTTGATGATATTTTCGAATAATACTTGTCTACTTACATGAAATTATTTTATCTCTTATGATTTTTTTTTTTTGTAATTTTGAATAAATGTTGATAAGTAGAGCTATTGTTAAAGAGAATTGCTCAATCCAACATTATTGATTAATAATATTTGTAACATATGAAAAAAAAAAAAAAAAAAAAAATACTTGATGAGTTGTAGTGAATTATTTAAATTATTAATGGTGTTGATACATTTATGAACGCACATTGACAGAAGGAACAATAAAATTTTAATTAGGTAATTAGTTGACATATATGGCACAGGCATGCCACTGGGCATTAATATGTTGTATGGTGCATGTGTGAATCTGTAATATGTTACTGTGAAAGCGAGCATCATCTATTTGTGTGGAAGCAAGACTCACACAAATTGGGTGTTACTATTTGATAACAAAGCAAAAGGTACTTGACAATATATATGGAACTGCTGGTGGAGTACGTGTCTCTTCAACTTTATAGAATGTGAGATTTGGTGAGAATATTCTAGAGAGAGAGAAGAATGGGACATGAGGGGAGTGGGAACTATTATTATTCAAAGGGGGCAATTAGGGCAAGTTGTAAGTGGTTTGTGACGTAGGGTGGAAACCCTTCACATGAAAGTCTCCTTAATTGTTAAGTGGGAATTAAATTTGGACCCCACCCCCCCACTAACTTAGCTTTCTCCCCCACTCTCTCTCTCTCTCTCTCTCTCTCACACAACAGCAATACAGCATAGATTATATATATATATATATATTTTGCTGGTGCATGTGCAATGTCTCCATGTCTACAGTCTACACATATGACATGGGCTCTTCTATTTATATATATATATATATTTATTTATTAGTATCTATAGTAGCTTAACTATAGTAGCTTAACTATTCCAAGCACGAGTGTACATTCAACTTGGCACCAAAAATCTAACATATTAGGAATTATACCATCTGCAAGGAAAATATGAAAGGACTAACGGGCACATTGCAAAAATGACATGCACCAACAGAGAGAGGTCCAAATATGCAAAAGATTAACCGGCACGGTGCAAGGATAACATTCACAAATCGAGAAATGATCCAAATTGTTTGATAAACACACTTGTTTCAGCCCATTATTTTATTCCTTAACATAATCACCCCGTAGACCTATTCTAACCCAAGAGCTTTATTTTTTCTTTCTCTTTTCTTTTTTTCCCATAAAAAGATATGCTAATTAAAGTTCTTTTATTTCTAAGCAAACGATAGAAATATTATTTTACACGCAGAAATATAAGATGGTACTGAACCATTTTTTAAAGCATAATCAAAAGTTGAAGACATTAATCTAAAGACCAGTCCCACCAGCTCAGTGGCTCTCCGTTTTGCTGTTCCTCCGCCATGAAGACATCAGAGAAGTAACTCTGACCTTCGTCGCTGCCGTCATCTTCCTCTGATTGGATTCCATGATCAAATGGCGCCACAAATCCAGGGTAGACATCTTTTGCTAGGTACGAGTCACCACTGTCCACAAGCTGTGGACCATCTTCGACGTCCACCACAGCACTTCCACCGCTGCCCGAACTCAGGCGGTCCTCCACCTTCACTTTCAATGGGAGGGTTGAAGCACGGGCCACATCCACTGGAATTGGGTCAGATTTTGGACCTGACTCGGGAATTCCGGCCACCTCCTTGGCTTGCAGTTTCTCAGTTAAGGAAACAACCTGTAGTGCCATTGTGAAACAAATACATGAATATTTGCTGAATTACTAAAATACCCCCAGAAAAGATTCTACCCTTTCTCAGCATATTTTTTAAAATGGGAATACTTACAAGTTACAAAGTAGGATAAAGGTACATTCATCTTTAGAAATTGAAATTTATCTTCTATATCAAGGTGGGGGTTTAGGCTTTAGAACAGATAGTACTATTTTTCTGACACACATATATGTTGTTATTTATATATGTTACGTTAATTATTATGAAACAGATATATACATCTGTATCATATATGTGTATTAATTGTAGACTAGCTTGTAGCTAAGGACGAATCTTGGATGTGGACACATTAGAGGCAGGTTCGTGATCAGATCTAAAGGCTTGGCCAGGTGTTCATTAGATCGTGATGGAATTGTCCGATCCCAGACGGACACTAGCTTTAATTTCCTAATACTTTACAAGGGAATTCTTACAAAATAGACAATTATATATATATATATATATATCTTAGCTTTATTTCATTATCAAATTCATATTCCATCCATCTCGATCTCAAGCATACATTGACCGTCTTTTTTAAACTACCGCATCAAGCATGTAGTATTATTTATATGTAAAGCAATGTTACTGTCATAAAGAACAATTCAAAATTGATTTTAGTATAGATATATTTCATTTCATCGAATGAAGGGTTTACTAAATCTTACCTGACTCAGGGTATTTCTGAATCATATGATTTCTATGATTTTAGGAAGATATTTTGTAAAGATTTAGTTTCATTTTTAAAATCCAAGTCCTCAAAAGAAGTGAACGTACATGATTTCTCAAATTACAAGGAAAAGGATGAAGTAAAATATTTTTTGAAAAATATTTTTTTGTATTTTTTAGTGTTTTTAGATGTCTTAAAATATTTAAGAAAAAAAAATATTAAAACTTAGTAAAAATAATTTATACATCAATTTTAAACAAGTTATTTTATAACGTCACGCTCAATGGACTCGACCTCAATCTCGATCTAAACCTTAGTCAAAAAAAAAAAAAAAAAAAAAAAAAAAAAAAAAAAAAATTTCAAAACAAATGTAACCAAAATTTATGTCCTTCTTTTAAATCCACCTGTGAAAATATTCAATCATGTGAGCCCATTTTTTATGCCATGCAACTTACAAAAATTTGGGAGACACTATATATAATTAATTCCTAAACTCCAAAGCATGTAGAAAAACCAAAATTGTTTCGGACAAAGCTTATTAGTCCATGAACTTTATATATATGATTATTTCATCGTGAGACTGCATATATATTTGGACTTCAAAAGTAATTTCCATAATTTGCTTCTTCATGTTATCTCTATGTACGTTATTCCACGAAAATTAAGACTGATATATAGTATAGCTAGATACCTCAGCTTTGAGCTTATCGTTGTCCTTGATGATGGAGTCATAGTTAGACAAAAGGGAATCATAGGAGGATTTGAGGTGATCATAGTCCCTTTCGAGCTGTTTGGTCTTCCACCGTGCACGGCGGTTCTGGAACCACACAGCCACCTGTCTGGGCTGAAGTCCCAACTTCTTAGCCAGCTCCGTTTTTCGCTCCGGCTCCAGTTTGTTCTCTGCCTCAAAGCTCTTCTCCAGCAGGTGTACCTTAACTCACAGACGAATATAATATTACCAATCAACCACAATTAATAATTAAATTTAAAGTTGCATATAACAATAACCAAAAAAAAAAGGCTGACCTGATCCGAAGAGAGACGACGTTTCTTTTCCGGCAACTGTTCATCGTAATAATCTTCGTCGTACAGTTCATCCGGTGAGCTGAAAAAGGGTCGCCTCTTTGAGGTTTCCTCCATATTTATCACTGATCTTGGCCCTGTAACACCAGTGTTATATTACATATATTGTAATTACTTCTTAATAGATTATTACACCTACATATCAATTCAAATCCAAACAGGTCTCTTGTACGTAAGAGTAAATTTCTCAAAAGAAAATATATCTATCAACATATAATTTATACATGACAACTATACAAAATTCCCCTTTAAAGCACTGAATTTTGAATCATAATTCTCTTACTGTTTGGAACATCCGTTACATAATTATGAACATCAAACAGAGAATTCACTATCTATAATATAAAGATTAATAGATATAAAGGTCAAATGAAAAAAAAAAAAAAAAAACATAAATATGCTGTATAATTAATAAATCACCTCTAAAAAAGGAATCACCATTCCCCGTGAAGAACATGTTCCCATGAGACGAGGGGTTGAAGAAAATACTGCCGGAATTCATGTTTGATTCTGTGCAGTGTGTCAGGTCGCCGGCTATTATATATCAGCGTCAATATATATATATATATATATCCGTGATATACAGAATTTAAGTTGTATATATAGGTATAGAATTATGTATGTTCGATTTAGTCTTAACTAGAAGAGCATGAGCCTGTGTCGGAAGAAGCTAGTACTCCACAGCAACCTCGCCGGAGTCTCCAACGGGCAGATACAACATCCCATCACGCGAACAAACTTTCCCAGCTCGGCAGATTTTCTCCGGTGCCACGTGCGTCAGATTACGCCCAATTAATCAGAGCAAGCTAGGTTGTATATGTATATATTATTCAACATGATCTAGAACAATCAAAGAAGGGCGTATGAGAACGGACGATCTGACACACCGTGCACGACCCTTTTGTGTGTGTATGTGTGTGTCTCTCTCGGACTCTCTCCCTCCTGGTCTTGCAGGTATTTTTTGCAGCTAAAGTTGACAGAGATAACCCCAATGGCATATATATTTGTGCTCGTGCAGCCAAATTACACAAATACCCCTCTTAAGTTTAATTGTTTATGTTATTAATATGGAAAATATTACTACAAAGGTATGGTTTTTCATTTACTTTGATTTCTTTTGTTGAATTAGACTTTTAATAATTTTTGCAGAATTTTAAAATACTGTATATATATATATATATATATACAAATATTTTGATGTATATAAACTTTGGATTGCTTAAATTAAAATCTATTGATTAATAAACTCTATTTTATACTACATAAAAAGCAAAAAATAATATAAAAAGCTTGAAACTACCTTAATGGATTGTGAAGAAATCTTATCAGTACCTTCCAATCCACATGCAACAATATTATTTTGATAATAAATTAAAAACTCGGTACTTCAAAAGCACTAACTTCGACAGTAAATGACTCATTCCTTCAAAAGTATAATATTACAATTTCAATATGTATATATATATATATATATAACAATAATCAATTGTTCCTTCTTCTTCTTCTTTATCTTTATTTTTATTTTTTAAAAAAAAAAATACTATCCTAATAGATAAAACAAAGTTTCCTCGCGTATATTTCAATAATTATGATGTCAGCGGGTAATAAAAATTGATTGAAATTTCTGTGTTTTTTTTTTTTTTTTTTTTTCAAATTGAAATTTCTAGTACAGTAGTATACACAATAATAATATGATATTCTCAAAATAAAAGGATTATATATGCACATTTATGGTAGGAAACAAAAGTAAAATCTACACATTTATAATAGAAAATTTTATATGTCAGGATTATTAATTGGTGAAGGTGATAAATAGATACTTAAAAACAACGGGGCTGGCAAATATGTGGCAGCAGTGTCATAAATAGTTGCCATGCTTTGGGTCGGGGATTGTCGGATGCCGTTAAATGTCGATTGGTTTCACTGCGGTTAATGGTTTGATTCTGTGTCGGTTTACTTCTGTGTCTATACTTTATGCCAAACTAGTAGGTGGACAAATAATACTTGGATACCTGAATTCGTGAATTTTATCCGAGTCAATTTGATTAGTGTGGATCTGATGTGGTTGTTATATTCATAAATATGTGATGAATTTAAAAAAATTGAATTCGTAACTCATGAATCAAATCACGAATTATACTATTAAAGATTAGATCTGATTTGTAATATATATATAAAAAATATATTAGTTAATTTAATTAGTTGATGATCATTTAATGGACTCAAAAAATATATTAATTAATTAATGATTAATTAAATATATGAATTAATGGTGATAAAATGAAATTTTATTTATTGGGTACATTATGGTTAAAAAATAAATATTATTGGATTATTTAGGAAAAAGCTTAATCCGCGGATCCAATCCGATCCGTCATTCAACAGATTCAATCCGATTTTTTCCTAACGTGTTAGAAAAATTTCGATCCATGGCCACCCGTACTAGCTAGAGCAAGTTTGAGTGCGAGAGTGAGAGTCTGAAAGAGACAATATATTAATCATAAAAGCAAAAGTAAGAGCGGGAGTGAAAGTGACTATAAAATGAGAATGGTTTTACGGTATATATATTTCGGGTGTATGATATTTTCAAAGTTTCTCTATTATTAATGGAGAGTGTGAGATGGACAATTATTAAAAAATATATATATATTGTGTGACTTAACCTCATTGATAATTATAAATCCCGCTATAAATTTTTTTTTTTTTTTTTAAATATTACATTTTGAACCCAAAAACGCATGCCTCGAATCATATTCATCACATCACATCTATTTAAATGATCTCACTATTTTTATTTATATAAAAAACGAAGTCAACATCAAAGTAGATTAAGTATCTTAAAATAAATCACATGAACTAATCAAAGATATTAATTTATAGTTTAGTCACAATAAAAGATAAAAATTTTATTTACCGAAAAATAAAAAGATAAAAATTTGATTGGTCGTGTAATTCATTCCTTATGAAATTTTGGCTGTAGAATTCTTGTACTATCTTTTTTTCTAAGGATCGAGTGTTTGTGAAAGTTCATAAATACTTTTTTATGAGATAAATCTCATTATACCTATTTCCAACTTACTTACTTATATTTACAGAAGAACCATACATATATAATCATACATCCTATATTCTGAAACAGCTAGCACTTGCAAAAATCATGTAGCAACTGGGTCCCGAGAATCAAAATTTTATTAATTTATTTTAGTGGGGAAAAGGGAATAAGTTAGCTAGAAAGGCACAAAGACTTCTATTAAGAGATTAGGATTTTTAAAAAAATTAAAATTACTTTAAAACTTGAGTCAACTAGCCTATCAGATTTATGAAAATAAATATACATTATAAAACTCTTCCGCTTATGTTTACTTCGTTTGGGAAGATTCATGGAACTTTCCTCATCTATAAAATACATCCAGTGATGCGTAATGCTTGTATCTTGTTAGTTTATCTGGTGATAAAAATTTGATTAATCACGAGGTTGGGCTCAAGTTAAGTATGAAAACAATTACTTTGATATATAAATAATGAAAAATGTCAGATTCATGTGCAATCAATCTCCATTAATTTGTTTTTCTTCATATGATCGCGTGGTTCTTGTATATTTTAGCACACATATGCGCGCGCATATATATATATATATATATATATATATATACACTTGTGCATGGACGTGTGTGAACTCATTGCTACAATCAAAAGTAGAAATTTCTCAGCATCTAATCTTTAGAGGCCATGTATACATGATCCTATGTTTCCGAAATAAAATTTTAAACCTTAATTGAAGCACGAAATATTACTTATATAGCCACTTTCCATGTGCTGGCCAGATGTGTATCAATTAATAGATTGCAAATGTGGGAATATTTATTAACAACCATTAGGGAAAGAAAGAAAGAAAGAAAAAACCCTAGAAATAGATTAAATACTTCCAACCTAATTAAGAAGGGAAAACAGTTTCACTTGCCCCCAAAAGATAGCAAAACCTTTTCAAGGCAAAATGTTATACTGAGTCACTGAAACAATAATATATGTATGTGTGTGTGTATATATATATGATATGTATGTATGTGCGCATGTACGTGTGCACACTGCACACTTTTGAGGAAGAAAGAGAGGGAAAGTGGGGTGCTTTTGTTATTCAATTCCTTTTTTGCTAAGGGAAGAGAGTAAATGGTGGTATCTTTTGACTAGTAATTGGATTGGAGATTTTTGCTTTTGTTCTGTTTTATAGCTTTAGACAAAGAAAGGTGAGGGTGAGAATCAAAGGCAAACTGGTCAGGGGAAGTGGAAAGCTATGTATAAAAAAGGTTGAGGCACCTGAGGATAAATGCCTTTGAGATATGCAATGTTTGGACCGATCACACCTCACCTCACCTAGTGCATGTATATGAATAGATTATATGTGTGTGTGTAAGATCATATATATATTCATGGTGGTGATCAAATTTGGAGCATAAGGCAGTGTTGCTTCTTTGCTTTAAGCAAATGCGTCCAACACACTGACCCCCACTGTGTCACCCCACAATAATGTGTTGTATTCACAACCATGCACTCTGTCACTATAATGTGCTGTATTCACGGTTCATAATCAGACGATATGATTTTTTTCCCCTTAAAGAAATACTCTTATTAATTAAGTGTTTGGAATCCAAGTAAGCAATAGTATTGGAGTGTGTGCACCTTTACTTGAATATATATATTTTTAAATATTATAATTCTTACTGTTACCGAAACTAAATTATAAGTTCACATAAATCATATTTCTTCGGATCTAAGCAGATGTATGACGAGATGTGTAAATATTATAAAGGGTAAATTACATTAACCCACTCTAAAATTTTGTCAAATTAGACCGTTCAACATTAATGTTGTGTTCGGTAAGAAGGATGTGAAGAGAAAATAAAAAAGAATGAACGAAATTCCTTTATTCGGTAAAGATGATATAAAGAAAGAAAGGGGAAAAGGAAAGATGACCCACCCTTCCTACTTTACAAATTTTCATCATTCAAAAATGGACCGATGAAAGGAGGGAAAACAGGTGAACTACTATTATAGAAGCTATTGATGCACAATCCACATCGCCTGGGTGTGGAAAGAGGAAGTACTATATATGTAGGTGTGTTACTCCAATTGATATGAGGTCTTTTGGGATAAAATTCAAGAGTAAAACCATGCAGGTTCAAGCTTAAAACGGACAATATCATATCATGTGCTGGAGTGGATTGTTACAAATGATATTAGAACTTGATCCAGCCGAAAGTTTGGCAACGAGGATATTGGGCCCCAAGGGGGGTGATTGCAGTAACCTTGTGGGCAGTTGAAAGATATTGGCATGCTACCACATTGGGCGAGTTACAAGTGCACAATCCACATCGCCTGGATGTGGAAAGGGGAAGTGCTATATATGTAGGTGTGTCACTCCAATTGATATAAAGCCTTTTAAGGTAAAACCCAAGAGTAAAACTATGTGGGCTCGACCCCAAAACAAACAATATCATATCATGTGCTGGATTGAGTTGTTACAAAAATGAACATGATAAATTATAAGTTTATTCTCTTCTTTTCTTCTTTTCTATTTAACCGAACAAAAAGAAAAAATACACAATTTCTTTACTAAAAATGTCTCATCCATCATTTATTTTCTTCCTCCCACCTAAGGGCCTGTTTAGCATCTGTTTTGTTTTGTTTTTGGCCTGCTACAGTAGTCCTTTTGAAGCCCAAAATATGTTTGGCTGGGCTTGTTGTGTTTTAAATAGTTCCAAAACAATTTCAAAAATAGGCCCAAAATATAAAACACCATTTTGGTGTTTTTTCATGTTTCGGCACTGTTTGGGCTACAAATTACTGTAGCGGAGGAAACAATTCTTTCATTAAACTGTAGCAAGTATAACACGTATAAAAGGCAAAATATCATTTTCTAGGGTTTTGTTTGGCGCAGCTGCTCTTGGCGATTTTGGGCGATCGCAAATCACTTCCAATCACCTCCATCTCTATTCTCGTTCTCTACTAAGATCTTACCCCCTCTCTGTCTCTGCAAGTGCAAGCTACAAAATCTACAAGAATCAGTAGTTCAAAACCCATTTATTTCAGTTTATCTATCTGTCTGCACCTATTATTACCTATACCTCCATCTCTATTCTCGTTCTCAAATCTGAACTTGCCCTCTCTGTCTCAGATCTGAACTTGCCCTCTCTGTCTCCTCTCTCTCTCTCTCTCTCTCTTTCTCTGCAATTGCAAACTACAAAATCTACAAGAATCAAAAATTCAAAACCCACATATTTCAGAAGTTCAAAACCCATATCTGTTTGCAAGAATCAAAACCTATTACCTATATAATCAAAACCTATTACCTATATCAAAACCCAGGCATATCATTTCAGATTGTTCAAAAAATCAAAACCCATATCTTTCAGTTTCCATCACCTGCTGTTCCAATTCAGGTTCGCCATTCGCAACCTTCCATCGCCTGCTGTTACCTAATAGTTTATTGCAAATAAATATATATATATATATATATATATATATATATATATATATATATTTGTGAGACCAAACATATTTTGTATGTTTTTGTTTCCCCCATTTCCACAGCAAAATATAGTTCCCAAACGTGTTTTAGAATTTTTTCCAAAACACTCCTACAACAAAAACATTGTTTTTGTTTTAGCCAAAAATAAAACGTTAAAAACAAAATGCATGCCAAACGGACCTTAAGTTTTTTTCTTTCCCACCGAACACATCATAAGTACTTGGACTTGTGTTCAAACATAGAATCACTTTTTAATAAACACAGAGGCGGGCTCAATAGAAAGCCTTTTTAGTCAAGAATGTCTGACCGCATTAAAATGCCAGATGAGCCTAAATTTTCAGGCCTGTTAAGAATGTTCAAAGGCCCATAGCCCACACCAATACAAAAATTCTCATCTTATCTCGAGTCTGAGGACGACTTGTAATATGTACTGTAACATATGCAGCTGTCCGGATATATTTCTCTTGAATCTCTTCCATTCTTCCCCATACAATCTTATCCACATTTTCTCTCTCTGTCTGTCTATCTATCTATCTATCTATCTATCTATCTATCTCTCCATCTAGCCTAATGTAATGCACACCCACCATTCTTTTTTTTCATAAACCCTAATGTTATTAGTCTTTTGTTGACCTTCAATCCAATGGCAGCGGTTATCTCCTGCCACTACTGTTCTTCTGTATCTATAACCTCCAAACCCATCAACCCTAAAACATTCCCCAATTATATCCGCTTTTCAATTACTCAGAGGAATGCTTCAATTCGCAGATTCCAACCTAAATGTTCTTCCAAAAACCCTAATAGATTTGAACTCCATAATGAAGAGGTAAGTTCGTAAATCTTCTTCAATTATTAATAAAATGTTCTTATGTATTCATAATATATATATATATACACACGTGTGTGTGTGTGTAGCATTCTACATTGGATCCTTGAGAAATTATTTGGGTTTGTAGTGAATTAGGTAGTTTAATTGAAGATTTATATTGGAGTGTGTGTGTGTATGTGTGTGTTTGTGTGCTTAAATGTACTTGACTTTGATTTGGGCAGAAAGATAGGTTTTTTCCATTGAAGGAATGCGCGATCTCTTTAGCGTTGGCGTTTGGATTGGTAACTGGAGTACCTGCCTTGGGTTGGTCCAGTAATGCCATCGCTAGTACTCCGGCATTGCCAGATTTGTCTGTGTTGATCTCGGGGCCGCCAATTAAGGATCCGGGAGCATTGCTGAGATACGCTTTGCCTATTAACAATAAAGCCATAAGGGAAGTTCAAAAGCCACTCGAAGATATCACTGATAGTCTCAAGATTGCTGGAGTCAAGGCACTCGATTCTGTAGAAAGAGTGAGAATCTCATCACTGTTTTCAGATACTTCTATTCTTTACTATGTTAGTTAGTTTGGTTTTGATTACTTACGGAGGGAAAACATTTGTTTTGATGATTTGAAGTTATATGAATCAATTGTCACTGAGGATTTGTGTTTATATGAGTTGCAGAATTTGAGACAAGCATCTCGGTCTCTCAAACAGGGGAAAAGTCTTATTATTTCGGGATTGGCAGAATCAAAGAAGGATCATGGGATTGAACTGCTTGACAAGCTTGAAGCTGGGATGGATGAGCTCCAACAAATTGTGGAGGACAGGAATCGGGACGGTGTGGCACCTAAACAAAAAGAACTTCTTAGTTATGTCGGCAGGTGAGTCATAAAAATACTGCCTTCTTCGCTCTGCACACATTCATATTGACATGCATGCCTCACAAAATCTCTGAAGAAGAAAAGCAATTGGTGTTTAATATGATGGTCATAAGTAGTATGTAAAAATGTTAAGCTCTGTGAAGAGTAGTTTGGAACTTAATATATGTTGGCAATAAAACTTAAAGCTCAGTTTTAGCACCTTCTGGAGGGGGTTGGGGTGTAATCTTATGTTAATTAGTTGTGGAAAAGGTTGTCAAAAAATTTGAAATTATTTATTTAGCCTCATACATGTTGTGAGGACCCTGGATTTGGTCATAACTCACAAGTCATATGCGTGGAATAGATGGCCATCCTCAAACACAACAACTTCCGTCGCAATTTGAGGCATAAAACACCACAAATTTTCAGTCGTTCAGACAGCCAAATTTCTGTATTAAGGTCATGCCTAAAGGAAATAGGCCAACTGATTTTGGCACCTTGTAGAGCATTGACGTAGATTTTTAATGTTTCTCTAGATGGGTAGCATACAAGGGCAGACCCAGGAATATTCAGTCTCTAGATGGGTAGTATGCAAGGGCAGACCCAGAAATATTTAAGAACATGTCTATTATAATGACACTATTTGCATCCTTATCATAACTTGTTTCTATTCTTAATTAGTACGAAAAGGAAAAAAACAGATAGAAGAACATGCTTGCACTCGATAAAGGAGGTTGTCAAGTTCTGCGAATTTCTTTTTCTTTTTTTTCTTCTTCTTTAATTCATATAGATAATAGATATAATATATATACGTGCATGGATTATTTATATGCTCTAGTAAGGACTAAAATAATGGAATTGCTTTTTCTTTTCCTTTTTCCGCTAGATTTGATTTTTAAAAACAAGAGTAAAAAGGTTTAATGGACTTGTTTGGGGGTTGGGGGAGGGGGTGACATGTACATTTTTAACAAACTCACCATTAATACAACCCATAAACAAGGGTTTTGAAAATAATTTGGGGGTGCCGTTGCCCCCCTAGCCCCCATCTAGTTCTGCCCACGGTAGTAGATCATTGGTTCTAAGTCCTGGTAAATTGCATGAGGGAGAAGTTGAAGTTAAATGGGAGTTGGGAAAATTTTAAATTAATATGCGTCTACAATCCTATATTTTGAAAGGCTTCCAGAAGGGATTCCATGTCAATTCTGATTAGTGTAAATTCTAATGTAACCTTGTGATAAGGATGTTTTATGAGACACGGAGTTGGTCCTGTTAGGTGTATTCTTTTATTAAGAGCTATAAAGCACGGACATGCCCCCAAGGGGTGCCGCACCGGTGTCGGACATGTGTCCGAAACGGACACGCGTGTCCCAGTTTCGGACACGTGTTTGGGTTTTTTTGTTTTTAAAATCTGGATACGCTGGCGACACGGTGAATGATGCTTCCGGACACCGAAGAAACAGCCGGCTGCTGATTCTTTAGAAAAAAAAAAAAAAAAAGGGAGAGAAGATGAAGAGAGATACATATATATATGTTGGGGGAAGGAGGGGAACTAAAGAATGTAATTGTTTTGGTTGTTTTACATTCTGCCGAGGAATGGAGTATTAATGAGGATGTCTTGCTATTTTGGTACTGATAACCACCATCTAATCTAAAAGCTTAAGCTGTTAGAGAGGGTGTAGCTTTATATTTAAATCCTCTATGACGCCCTCTCATGCGTGGCCTTCTTTTGCTTCAACACATGTTTCAATCTTTAATTATCAGGTTACGGTGAGGTTTTAACTCAGGGCCTCGCCTACTCTGATACCTTTTTAACCACCATCTACTCTAAAAGCTTAAGCTGTTAGAGAGGGTGTAACCTTAATATTTAAATCCTCCAACGGGTACTATAGCCTATTTTGGACATAGGAGTTAGGAAGGACTTGTTAAACCTAATAGTCTTAAGATAATCTATTCTCATTTATACCCTTGTCATTGACTGCAGCTGAGATCTTCCTGGGGCATTGGGTTTCTGCAGTGTTGAAGAGGATATGGTGGATGGCTTCCCATATGAAGTGCCTGAAGAATATCGGAGCATGCCTTTACTGAAAGGAAGGGCAACTGTGGATATGAAAGTTAAGGTTAAGGACAATCCTAACCTAGATGAGTGTGTCTTCCGTATTGTCCTCGATGGATATAATGCCCCAGTAACTTCTGGGAATTTTTTAGATTTGGTGCAAAGACATTTTTATGATGGCATGGAAATCCAAAGAGGTGAGATAGCTTGTCTAGAAGTGAGCTTTGATGTACTGTTTCATAGATATATAGCATGCTAATCAATATTTTTGCTTCCCAGCTTGAAGAAAAATCTTTATAAATATAGATTTCGATATATAGTTATATCTTCACCAGGCTGATAACTTTGTTGGGTTTGCTGCAGCGGATGGATTTGTAGTCCAAACTGGAGATCCTGAGGGTCCTGCAGAGGGTTTTATTGATCCTAGTACAGAGAAAACCCGTACGATACCTTTAGAAATTATGGTAGATGGAGAGAAAGCACCTTTCTATGGAGAAACTTTGGAAGTAAGTCCTTCAGCACTCACTAATACTTTCTTCATGTGTGTGTGTGTTTGTGTGTGTCTGTGTAACTTAGAAGTTACTAAACGGTGAACATGATTGGAGGTTCTGTTTTGTTTAGGCAGAAAAAGGTGGAAGCTACAACCTTTGACAATCTTCTTTATTGCATCCAGTGTTGCATGGAATCTTTGAACTATGATATGCATCATATGCTTATAAGTCATACACATATGATTTCGACACATATTTTTATGTCTCTTTCCTCTCTCCTTGGTGCCCTCACCATTTTACAATTATGTTAAAATATCTTATTCCTCTCTTCTTGGAAGTCCTTATCATCATCCTTGCCTCAATCCCATTTGTATGGCGTTGGACACATGAAAACTCTCTCCAAGCTTTTCTAATACATGCCAATTCACATACTATATTTAACATTTTAAAATCATTTTTAATAACCTCATCCCATTGTATTTTTGAGCGCCCTCTCTGTCTTTTACCTTCTACTACAACTAGTCTTCCTGTTTGACCAGCGCGTTTCTAGGTCTCCAATGTATATGTTTGTATATGTGGAAATCATCTAAGTCTACTCGAATTTTCTCCCCAATGAGTGCTACACCTAATCTTCTTCTCACGTTTTCATTAGTGACCCTATAACACTTTCCTCTCATTGGCAGTCCTTTTCATTTTATGATATCTATTCTGTTACGACTTGATATAGTGTTTGATAATAGTTGTGCACTTGGACAGGAGCTTGGTCTATACAAGGCTCAAACAAAGCTTCCATTTAATGCATTTGGAACAATGGCCATGGCTAGAGATGTGAGAATTTTAATTTACCCCTCATTGCTGTTCTTCGCACCATAGATATGGTGCTGTTATTAGTTTGCTGGCTAAACCTATATTTCCATGTTGAATTGTTTTATTTTATTTTATTAATTACAGGAGTTTGAGGACAATTCCGGTTCAAGCCAGATATTTTGGCTTTTGAAAGAGAGTGAATTAACTCCTAGTAACGCCAATATATTGGATGGTCGCTATGCAGTGTTTGGTTATGTGACACAAAATGAGGATTTTTTGGCAGATCTCAAGGTTGGAGATGTCATAGAGTCCATTCAGGTAGTCTCTGGCCTGGATAATCTTGTCAATCCAAGCTACAAGATTGCTGGATAGATAGATCTCCCTCTTTTTTTTGTGTTGTGTAATGTGGAACATGAACTTCTCTAAGATGGCAGCTAGTTAATTTTGTTCAAGTCTTGTTCTATTCAACGATTCTGTATTTTTTCTTTTTGAGAGAATTCTTCATTTTTATTTTTTTATGCTCAACCGCAGAATGTATACATTTTAAACAGCGTTGACACTCTAGAGTAGATTTGTGTCAATAAAGGAGCTTTTATTATTTTTGGTAATTAATAAATCAGCTTTTCTCATATCACCTGTGTTATATGTTGGTTTTTTTTTTTTTTTAATGATAAAATTATTGTGGGCAACTATTGCAACATTGAATATTTTCAGAGCTACACTTTTCAAACCATGGCATAGGAAAAAAAACAGAAGAAGAAGAAAAGAGAAAGGGAGAGCTTTTTAGGTACTCTAATGATGTATTCTTTTAAAATAAGATGTCCCGAGTATGTGAGAAAGATCCTTTGAGAAGTATATCATGCATGAAACCATATTCTTAATAAGTTCCGAGTAACGAGTAACGGACACATTACCAGGATCAAACTTTCTTATAAAATTCATATAGAAGAATAACATGAGATGATTCTCCACATTTCAAGTATGCAAATCAAGTGCACCATAACATATGAAATTGCATTTATAAATCAAGTGCACCATCAATATAACTCACAGACCGACTTGGTCAAATCATCCCCCAATGACATTAATAAAATTCATCGAAGCATGAAAGTTGTTCCATCTTAGATATAAGATACTGGGCAAATCCACCACTTGGAGCGTCCTATCAGTAACATAGTTGACTGAAAGAAACTAAAAGGAAAATAAAACAAAAAGAGAAGCTTTACAACATCAACGACCTAACAAAGAAACAGATATAGAGCCCCTCTTAAACTATGCCCTCTAAGGTTTGAGGTATTTGCCTCGGTTTAACTTAAATACAACTTCCATATAATCTCTCATACATCAACCGTCGCGCTGCTAGGATGAGTAATTCATTCAAGGCCCTCGGTACCTGCGGAAGCAGAAACAACTCTGGGCCTGATCCGGAGGGATCATCCCTCCACCCTTTGATGTGTCAATGGCCTCCAGCATGGACACTACCTCATCCATCTCTGGCCGCTTGTCGGGGTTGGCATCCCAGCATCGCTTCATTACATTTGCAAGAGAGCTTGGGCAACAGCGAGGTATCTCTGGCCTCAGATTCTGTAGGTCCATAATACATCCAATAACTACTCTTTTATCTTAAAATATCAATAATGGTTGCTGTGACGTTTAACGGTCAACAAGCATTGCTTTTTGTATTGCAAAGGGGTTTAATGTGAAAAATAATCATTGGAGTTTTTATAATAAGCTGAATGGTTATTATATTTCTACAGCCAAATGTTATTATTTACCTGGCGGACAACAGCTGCCGTCACTTCCGAGAAGCTGAGGTCGGGATATGGCATGTCACAGCAGTATATCTCCCACAGGCAGATACCAAAACTGTACACATCACATTTCCTGTTATATGGGTTGCCATTGAGAACCTGTCATGTTTGCCAGATCAAAGATAATTGGTTAGATAAGCAGTACTTTAGTGCCTAGAGGAAGCCACATAGGAAGTACACTTGCTCATCAAAAGCCAACGTACACATCAATCATGAAGCCAAGTGAAAGTTTAAAGTTAGAAACAATATTCTAATCCAGAGGTAAATTTCATGACCCAGGCTCTTCCACGAGGAGCCACCAATCTCATGGGTAGCAACCATTTAATGCAAAAAAAAAGCTCTTGCATAAAAACCAGGAAACATAAATCTTAGAGCCCATTATTAAATAATGACTTGTAGCTGCTAATCATTGACTTCCTACTTCTATGGGATTCACATTTCTTCATGGCAGATGCACCACATTTAGGAAAATCCATCAATTTGGCTTCAGATGTTGTCATGGAAACCATTTTCTCCAAGACACATCATACAACAATGGTTTCAAATTTACAACACCACCAGCACATGCTTCTCTAAATGCTAGTTGGAAGTATCTGCAAGAAATCCTATCCAGTTGTGCAAGAAAAGGTACCCTTTGAAATTAAGTTTGAACTTGACATAATTTGACACACTCCTGAGAGACAATAACGTGCCCAAAATGAATTCCATTGAAACAAATGAAGCCTTTTGAAAAGTAAAGCCAGTAAAATGCTTTTTGGGCAAAAAAGAAATTTCAATTGATTTTACATGCATCCTTATGAGACCAAATTAAACTCCTATATATGTCACTTATATTAAGTACCTAATAAGCTGGGTAGCATATGCATGTTTTTGAACATTACCAAAAGTGCCCCTCGTCATTTCTGAAATCACACAGGCTGTAATATTCTAATCAAAGCAACCACAATTAAATCATGCATCAGCTCTCATGCAACCACAATTTTTCTACCATAAATAAAAACCTGTGATATTCTGATCAATGTGCAACCACAATTTGAAGCATGAGTAAGCTTTTAATATTCTAATCAAAGTGCAACCACAATTTAAACTATGCATCTGCTCTCATGCAACCACAATTTTTCTACCATAAATAAAAAACTGTGATATTCTGATCAATGTGCAACCACAATTTCAAGTATGAGTAAGCTTTCATGCATGCAAGGATGAATGGAAATCAAGTGTGTACCTCTGGCGCCATGTAACCAAGGGTTCCAGTCTCGCCAGTCATGTCGTTAGGATTTGAAGCCTCAAGACGAGCAACCCCAAAGTCAGCTATTTTGATGGTTCGTGTCTTGTCCAGAAGCATATTTTCTGTTTTCACATCTCTGTGGACAATTTTCTTAGAATGAAGATAACTCAACCTGTAAAAGATAAAGAATAGAGGTTTAAGTCCAAGATTCCAAAGAAATTTTTTAATAAATCACAAGTTAACTTGAAATGCCAAACATTTAGCTTTCACGAAAATAAATTTCACATTCAAAAATTTGCAGAAAATAAAATAAAAACATGGTTTAAGAGTTTGACCCTCTTGCAAGATCTAGTGCTAGTTGGACAACTACTCTAAAAGCAAGCTTCCTCCTCCTGTTCTTTATGAGGAAAGATTTCAGTGCACCCCCAGGAAGATATTCAACGACAACACAACAAACATTACTTGGCATGCCAACATGACCATTATCAGTCTGTATGTTTAGCTCTGACGTGCCCATTGTAGCTCCTATAAACTGCAAAAGAAATTCACCATGAAAATGAAAAATATAAGGATGATTTTCAAGTGAATATTTAAAACAGTTCAATGTACACCCTTTTTAAACATTTTTCTCTCAAAAATAAAAATAAAAGAAATTCACAATTAGCAGCATATCACCCATGCTCATTTTGTTTTCATGTTGCAGTGTGAGCTGTCTTGAGCCAGTGCAAGGACACCAAACACTATTGTTGGTTTTCTTTTTACAAAGGTCAAACAATAGAAATCTGAAGAGGCCAAAGTTTGATCATGAAAAACAGGTGGCAGTAGGAAAGAAATATAAATTCCACTGCATTGAGCCTCCTACAACATTAGAACATTATTGTTGCTTCAAACACCAACGGTAGACAACTATAGTATGAAATTCAAATTATTGGAAAAATATTTGCAAATATACAACATGCAAATTTATCCTACAAATAGAAATGCAAATAGGTGAAACAAAAAATAAGAGATATCGACAATTACTTTTGCCAACGAAATTACTGATCATCACATGGACCATCAGGCCATGTGGCATGTCAATTATTGTTGATTAGGGTGTTGTCTTAATGAATGCATTACAGAAATAGATTAACTTGTTGACAAGGGCATTCGTAATGATGAAACCTCTGGAAACATGTGAAAACCAACAGCGTCACTACCTAAATGGAAGGTCATGTGATTGGCACCATCATCCACTTGTTGACTAACTCCTTTTTGGTCAACTGCTTTTGTATTCTTCTCCGTCTAATCTATGACCAAAGATACAAGGGCAGACAATTTAGGACTTCTCAAACCCTGCTGTTTGCAGTTCAAACGAACTTCATTTATTCGTCAAAAACGCAGTTATTTAGTTATTTTGTTTTACCATGATATTTTAACAACTACATAATTGAGAAATCTTATAGTTAACTATATATATATATATATATATATATATATATATATATATATATATATATATATATTGTCACACAGAATGAGTATCGAAATTGTGTAACAATATTCTAACTTAGCTAGCGAGTAATTTGATTTGCCATGGCATAGAGGAAGGATAACTCTAAAGTCAAATGAGCACCTTTGAAAATCCATCTTCTAACCGGAATACAAAGGATAAGATAGATTTTACAAGATTAAAGTTGACTCAAGGAAAACTATATGAGTTTCACGCTTCAGGACTATACCACAACGAAGATATATATATATATATATTGATAAGTAAGATTTTATTGAAAACGCTCAAAAAGGGGAGCGGATCCCAAAGAAACACGAGGGCCAAAAGGCGCCTTAAACCTTCAAAGAGGCCAAAAAAACAATAATCTCCTCAATAGATCTATAATCTCTCCCTGAGACCCAACAAAAAAGAGTAAAAATGATATAGAACTTAAGCATAGAAATAGGTTTCTCCTTTCCCTCAAAATATCTCCGATTTCTCTCGAGCCAAATGCACCACCAAATACAAAGAGGCGTAGCCCTCTAGGCATCCTGCACGGGAGCCCCAATAGAGACACCTCTCTAAGCCTCAATCAACCCGCTGGAGGAACAAGGCATAACCCAAAAGACACCAAATAATCCAAGCATCAAATCCCAACAGTCTCTGGCCATGCTGCAATGCAAAAAAAGGTGATCAACTGTCTCCTCATCGCACAAGCACATATAACATCGATTGATTACCACGTGCTTCCTCTTTCTAAAATTATCCTGGGTTAAAATCTTACCCAGGACGGAAGTCCAAGCAAAAAAAGCTACCTTAAGGGGGGCCTTAGAACGCCAAAGAGACTTCCAGGGGAAATGGCCTCCGGTGCCGACCAAAAGGCACCTAAAAAAGGACCTAACCTCGAAACGGCCCTGAGAGTTAGGAACCCAAATCCAACAATCTGGTTCCGCACCAGTGATCACCTGGCGATACAAAACCTCCAAAAAACGAGTAACCTCCTCAATCTCCCACTCCTGAAAGTGCCTCATAAACTGAACATCCCAATTCAGTCTCCCGTTATCAAGGTAATAACAGTCAATCACCATGGCCTGTCTGCGAGACCTATAAAGCCGTGGAAAAGCGAGGGCAAGGGGAGTTTCCCCACACCAAAGATCCTCCCAAACTCTGATCCTCCTGCCATCTTTGATCCGAAAACGAACTTGCTTGCAGAAAGCATCCCACCCCCTCCGAATGAAAGTCCAATCCAAACCCCCACCCCCCTTAGGACCACGCACATCAAGAGAGCACCACCCACCACCGCTCTCCCCAAACTTGCTCGCAATAACTCTCCTCCAAAGCCAATGCCTTTCAATCCCAAACCTCCAAAGCCATTTACCAAGGAGGGCCTTATTGAAAGGCAACAACCTCCTAATCCCTAAGCCTCCACTCCGAATCGGGCGGCACACATGATCCTATCGAACCAGATGATACTTGAACTCCTCTCCTTGAATCTGAGCAAACATCTCGATCTTAGGAACATCCCCAACAGGCACAAGAACGTTCTTACCAACATTCACCTTAAGGCCAGAGACAACTTAGAACCAAATCAAGACACATCTCAAATATCTGAGTTGGGACACATCTGCATCACAAAGCACTAAAGTATCATCCGCAAACATCAAGTGGGAGATCTCCAGTTGACTAGCAACATCCTTGCCCACCCGGAAACCTCTCAAAAATCCCAACTCCACAACCCTCTTCAACAATCTGCTAAGAGTCTCCATCACAAAAGGGAACAAAAATGGAGAAAGTGGATCACCTTGTCTCAAGCCCCTTGAATAAGAGAAAAAACCCGTCGGGGCTCCATTCACAAGGACAGAGAATCGAGCACTAGAAATGAAAAAAAGAATCCATCTCCTCAACGCCCACCAAACCCCATCCTCTCCAATAAGTAGAGGATGAAGCTCCAACTCACATGGTCATAAGTCTTCTCAATATCCAGCTTATATAAAACACCCAGAACCCCACAACTCAAACGGGAGTCCACACATTCACAACGAAGATATTTAATGAAGTCATTACGCAAGGTGCCCACATAAGAAGTCCCATCATGACCCTGCCCTTATCCAGTAATCTCATGGTGGTTAAAGGTGCACCTAGACCTTAAAAAAGTGACAAACTCGTCAAGGCTAAGCCACATTTCCTCACAAGAAAGGCTCCTTCACTCGAGCACTTATAAAACCCTAAGGCATACACTTAGAACAGATTTCAGGCTTAAACAACGGCCTTTGTTTCTTAATCATCAATCTATCTCTTTTCTTCTTTTTATTGATTGCATTACTTGACATGTATATCATATCATTTTCATGTTTCGTAGTTCAATTTTGTTTAATCTTAAAAGGATATTTTTGGATTTCCACATTCCATGAGCATCCGGTAGCTACTTGCATTAAATGCTTGGCTCTTATTCTCTATGATATTATAGTATACGCTTAAAATCTATATAATGGTACCACTTTATCTTGCACATCAAAATGTTATTTGATTTGTTTAATGCATATGCAATTGAAATGCACACCGAATCAGCTCTCCTACTGAATAAAATTCTCAGTTTAATGTTAACTTGCAATAACCAGTATTTTATTGAAATTAAGGGAAGAAAATTAATTTATACACCTCAAATATTTCAGTTGACTGACACATCTTATAATTGCTTTTTAAGAGTAGAAGTCTGAAATCTTCAACTTAACATATATGCCACAAATTATATGCCAATGATTACCAAAAGAGAAAGAAAAAAAATGTGTAAAAGGAAAATTACATATAAGGTAACATTGGTTGGATACTTTATAGCAAATATATTTTCACATTGCAGAATATTCAAATTGCTTCCCATAATACCTCCCTCCATTGCAAAGCAACAGTACATGCATTATATTTTTTTCATTTTTGTTTACTCTTATTATGTATTAGATATACCACTATAATATGTTTACATTACAAATAAAACATTTTCCAAATCCATCATCCAAATTTCGCAACCCATTAACACACCCAACAGTGATATATACCGCAATGATGTAGAATAGATAAATCACCAAAGAGCAGACACGTGATCAAATATATGTCAACAAAATAAATAAATTTACATTACAAACCAAATCAAACAATAGTAAAATAGTGACTATATCAATCAATAGTTGAGTTACCTTCCATAATTCAAAATATTAAATATTTCTCAATTTATGTTCCAAAGCAAATCCTAAAAAGGGTATTTTTAGATCATACTTTGGGCAATCCCATGACATGAAACAACAAGGAAAGGACAGAGAAGAATACAGAAATGAAAAGTGTCTTGGAGATAATACGAATGGGCATACCAGAGATCAGTGAGAAAGTGCAGAGAGACACAAGTATAGACGTCGTAGATCTGTGAACGACGGCGTTTTCGCCGACGAGTGTGATCTTTCCGAGAGCTCTTGCTCTCACTTCCATTCTCCCTCTAAATATCACACTTCTTTTGCTGTGCTAATCGCTCTCTCTCTATAAAACTTTTGAGAGATTTGTAGTCCGCAAGTACAAAGTCAAACCATCAATGGCGGGGAGACACAAACGCTCAGACAATAAACATAGAAACAATGTCGTTTCAGCCATTTAACATAAACAAAACAAAAAAGAAAAGAAAAGGAAGACAATGTCGCATAAGCTGAGAGGTGCATATACATGGCCAAAAGATGTCGTGTTAATGTGGTGGGTATTTTAGTAATTTTTCATCTTCAGTAGAGGGGTGTCTGACTCTGTTAACCCCCTCATTAATTAGAGCAGTTTTGTGCCAAAAAAATTTTTAAAAGGGAGTTTGATGCAAATCGTTACAAGTCAAGAGTGGTTTTATGCAATTCGCCCAAACATTTATATGGAAAATAAATGGAATATACCACAATGTTGGTATATTTATTTTAAAGTATTCGTACCCCCTCAGTCCTAATTTATTTGTCCCTTTTTCTATATTTTTTGTTGTCCCAATTTAATTGTCCAGCTTGATATGTCAAAGTAAGATGATTACATCTTTCCTAAAATATCCTTCTATGTATTAAATTTCAACTTCACAATATACATATATAAACTTCAAAGGATAAGCTGAAAATTTCAAAGGGGACAATACATAATGCTTGTCCCCTCAAAAAGTTGAAATTCCGAAAATATACAATTAAATTGGGATGGAGGGACCATATAAAGCATGATTTCTAGAGCTCCTGCTCTCACCTAAGGGTGGCAAATTTTGACACGACTCGAACACGACACGAGTTAAACAGGGTTGAGTTGACCTTAAACGGGTTCGGATTGTAAATTGGTCGGCACGATTAACCTGTTTAGTTAATCGTGTTGTGTTTGGGTTGAGAAGTTCAACTCGTTTAACTATACGTGTTATAAACAAATTTTTATTTAAGTTCCAAAATAACTATCTAAACTTGTGTCTTATAACTTATTATTTTGTAAATTAAAGATTATGTAGTAATTTGGTTGGATTGAAAGCTATATTTTTCTAGTATTTATTATTTGATTGAGTACTATTAATAATTTAAATAATAAAATATTTCGTTTTAGTAAATAGGTCATTAAAAGGGTCACACGTGTAACGCGTTTAATAAATAAGTCGGGTTAGTGTTGAGGGTTCCTGACACAATTATTAAATAAGTCGTGTTTGGATTAAGTTTTTTAGTATAATACCCTTAGGTTGACATGACAAGATTGTGACCCGTGAACACGAATTGCCACCCCTACTGTCACCTCAATTTTTATATATATTATATATATTACACTTCTTTTGCTCTGCTAATTGCTCTCTTTGGATTGGTTTCTCTCTATATAAAACTTTTGAGAGATCGTAGTCCGTGAACAAAGTCCAACCAGCAATGGCAGAGAGATATAGAAACCCTAAAAAAAAACATAGAAACTATGTCGTTTTAGCCATTTAACAACATTTATAAAAAAAAAAAAAAGACAGACGATGTCGCATAAACTGAGGGGTGCATTTACATGTCCAAACGTCGTGTTGATTTGGTGGGTATTTTAGTAATTTTCCGTCTTCAGTTCACAGGCATCTGACTCCGTTACCTCCCTCGCTAATTTAAGGAGGGACCAGAGGGGAGGGGGTTGTGCCAAAAAAAATTTTAAGGGGGGTTTAATGCAAATCATTACAAGTCAAAAGGGGTTTTATGCAATTCAAACATCTATATGGAAAATAAATTGAATATTCCACAATGTCGGCATATTTGTTTTAAAGTACCCATACCTCTATCCCAATTTATTTGTCCCCTTTTCTTTTCTTTTTTTTCTTTTTTTTTTTTTTGTTGTCCCAATTGAAATTTCAAAGTAAGATGATAACATCTTTCCTAAAATATCCTTTTAGGTATTAAAGGATAAGCTAAAAATCTTCAGAAGGGAGCAATGTATTAAATGCATGTCCTCTCAAAAAGTTGAAATCCCGAAAAGATACAATTAAATTGGGATGGAGGGAGCATATAAAGTATGATTTTCAAGAGCTCTTGTTGTCACTTCCATTCTCTCTCTCTATATATATTATATATATCGCACTTCTTTTGCTCTGGTAATTGCTCTCTCTGTGGATTGGTTTTTCTCTATGATAAAACTTTGAAATATTCGCAGTCTACGAGTACAAAGTCCAACAACCAGCAATGGCGGAGAGACATAGAAATCCTCAAAAAAAAAAAAAAAAGACGTAGCATAAGCCGAGGGGTGCATATATATGTCCAAATGACATCGTGTTAATAAGGTGGGTGTTTTAGTAATTTCCAACAGGCGTCTAACTCTGTTACCCCCCTTGTTAAATTGGTTGGGAAAAAATTTAAAAGGGTTTTAATGCAAATCGCCGAAACATTTATATGGAAAATAAATTGAATATTCCACAATGTTGGTATATTTGTTTTAGAGCATCCATATCCCCTATGCCAGTCTGTCATTTATTAGTCCCTTTTTCTATCTTTTTCTATTTTTCTTTTTTTGTTGTCCATTTGAAAAGTCAAAGTAAGATGATTGCATATTTTCTAAAGGGTGAAGTGCGGAAAACACCCCTGTGATATGCATATAACCCCTTCGGGCATTACCTAGTGGCATAGTTGGTCGAGCACCAACCTCCCCGAGCGGGTGTGCTCATGGTTGAGTCCCCTATCTCCCTAGTTTGCCATGAAAATATATATATTTGCATGTAATATAAAACAACCCTAACCTTTCTTTCAGTGCAAATGAGAACTCACCGTTATTTTGTCGTTAACGGAGATAGGAAAATACTTAAATACCCTTCTTATAGCTCCAAAAAAACAAAAACAAAAAAGAAGAAGAAGAAGAAGAAGAAAATAAGATTAAGGCAAGCCAAACGATGTCATTCGGGTTGCCTTAAAGGACCCTGTAAGAAAAGATATTATTACATGGTCCCGAGACAACTAGTCTCGGTCCAATCGGCATTTGACACCAAAGCAAATGTCTCAGAAATGTGTAAGCTTTATTCAGCTTTTTGCTTAGGCATCAAATGGTGATTGTCCAGGACCAATGGTCCCGGGACCATGTAATAATTTCTCCGTAAGAAGACACACCCATATGTATTACATAAACAAATTTTACGGTAACAACGGAGAGAGAAAGTGAGTTGATCTCAACCTCCTATTCCATTGTTAGTTCACCAAAAGCCTCCGCTCCTCACAACAGTGCCGCCACACACATATCTGGAAGCTCCAACACCTCATTTTCGCCACTGACCCTTCTCTTGTTCGTCATCGACTTCTGCGTTGGATTTTGTTGAATCAAATACAATAATTAATTTTGTCGATTTTCAATTTTCGATTTTCAATTTTTTCGATTTTTTTATTTTGTTGAATTGAATGAATATTTTGTGAAGATTTTTTTTTTACTTGGCAAAAGAAAATAATTACCATTACAGAAAACAAATCTAACTCTACAACTTCCAACCCATGAAGGAAAATTGCATTCAAAATGAAAGCCCTCTTTCCTTTCCAACATTTTTTTACCAGCAAATGAGCCGCGCGATGGAGAAACCTTCATCCCCTTGCAAAATCCTCCGCGTGATGGAGAAACCTTCATCCCCTCTTTCCTTTCCAACAATTGTACTTCTAGGAACCCATGTGATGGAGAAATCTTCATTCCCTTGCAAAATCTTTCTGCTATCATCCAGCACCATTGGGAAGATGAATATATATATATGATGCCAATTTACGATCAGTTGGCAAAAGAAAGCATGCCAATTTTCGAGGATATTACCATTTTTGCCAACGACATCCACCATCTTCTCCAGCCGGCCATTCACCATCTCAATCCTCTATATATATATATATATATATATATAAAGAGAGAGAGAGAGAGAGAGAGAATACGGTGAAGGGCATTATCGGAAAAGAAAAAGGGCAATTTTGAATTTTCAGATCTTAAAAATGTTGTTTAACGGTCATCTCGTAATGGCAGTCCAACGGGAGGCCTTTAGTTGCAACATTTTAAGATACAGTATGAACTTATATACACAAAATAAACAATAGGGATGTTACGTGCACAAAATGTAAATCATATGGGTATTTTATGTACTTTACCCTTCCTAAAATATCCTTTTAAGTATTAAATGTCAAATTCACAATATACATATATAAACTTCAAAGGATAAGCTGAAATTTTCAAAAGGGATAATGCATTAAATGCATGTCCCCTCAAAAAGTTGAAATACCGGAAAGATACAATTAAATTGGGATGGAGGGAGTATATAAAGTTCCTTTGACATGAACATCTTTTGGTTATAATCCTTTGCATAGAATATGTCACATATATGTTAAGTCAAAGATTTTGAATTTTTACACTTTGAGAGAAATTATATTCATACGAAGTCAACTAGAATATTTGAGGCGTATAAGTAAATTTTCTACCCTTGTTTGTAATTGAAAAACACTGCTTATAACATGACTAGTTTGTATTGCATATTTTGAAATATTTTACTTATATTATATTTACTAAAAATGTCTATCATAACAAGACTTAACTCGCTCACGCTCAACTCTTATGTTGTGCATTGTGTTTACTCTCCACGACCTTGGCATCTTAGTGCACCTTGAACCATTAATAAATAATAATCATGAGAAATTTCTCATGTTGTGTATTGTAATCTTATTGTACAACCCTTTATTTCTTCAAGGAGCTATGAATTCAAAAGGAAATATCAGCTTAGGTTTCACTTGTGCATTTACTAGTATTAGATAAAAAGCCTACCTCCCAAATACATAAATCTTTTGAGAAAATCCCACATGGTAATGGCAAAAATAAATTCCAATAACCATCATACTTTGCTGCCTTGCTGTAATCCACAACAATAGCTGGGTACTAACCCTCCTTACCATAGTTGTGATCCTACCTAAAGCTAGGGTCTTCAAGAAAATTATTAGAATGTACCAATTAGAAATGATATAACCTAACCCAATCATTTCCACTATCACAGTCCGCATGTAAATAGAAGGAAAACTAAAACACAAGAAAAGCTCTCCCACCAACTGGCCTTCGGAGAACTTAGAGCCACAAAATAAATCATTTTTTCTTTTCCTCATATTTAGACAAGTTACTAATTCCCAACGCTCTGAAGCTTCACCAAGTCATATTAATAATCTTATATTTAGGCAAGTTTCAAGTTCCTAATGCTATGAAGCTTCACCAAGTCATATTATAATTTATGGTTCTAAAACCTTCCAGTGAAAAACAATTTATATTAAGATAAATACAAGTATGAACTAAAGAACATCCATGTATTTTTGAGACGGCTTCACAGAAGAAAGAGCAATATGTAATACAGAAAATATGAAGAAAAAGAAAAAAAGAAAAACAAAAGAGAGAGAGAGAGAGAGAGTCAAAACTTATGACAGTACCTTAGTTACATTAGGATGATCAAGCTTGTGCCACACAGCCACTTCTTGTGTAAAAGCTGCTCTAAGTGATGCTATTTCAGCGTCTGTTCTGTGCCCTTCTTCCCCCCAGTCAAGAAGTTTAACTGCACATGACAAGGGAATGGAACTTACAGTTAACTAAGTCAGCAAAAAGGATCTCGCATAGCTTTAAATTAAATTAAAGATAGAAAAAGTAAATGAAAATAAAAACTTTTATTAGCTAGTGACAGCAACTGCTCACTAAAGGATATTAATCTCATATTGATGCATACCAATAAAAACATGAATAGAATAAGGAAGTAAATAATATACAGTTTCTTGGTACAATCTCAATCCAGTAGTAGTTCTTTTCTCTTCTTCTAACCCTCTTTAAATAAATTTCTCTCTTCTTTAAACTTTATATCCACAAAAACGTGACATACTACACAAGTATGAATTAGCAATTAATTGGGACACATGAAAGTTCAGATCCAGGGAATCCTGATGCAACAAACATCATTAAGTAGCATAGCTAAATGTAAACTTAACTCAATACTGTGAAAATGTAAACTCAACTCAATATTGTGAAAATGTAAACTCAACTCAATCCGTGGTACCAACAGTATTGTGATGCACTTACGAGATTCACTCGAAAACCAGTTCATAAGAAATAATAATAATAAATAAATAAAATAAATGAAAACAGGAACTGACAATTTATCACCATAAACCAAAACATTTTGAATATAGATAAGTACATCAGAACGTGAGGAACTAAGCCATAGATCCCTTTGCCCACTAAGCCAAAGGTGGAAAGACTTGGATAAAAGCAGTCCAACATATTCCCCAAAATATTCAACTAAGAATAACCAAATCAGAGACCAGTTTCATCAAGAAAATCTTGATAATCAACATTTCAAGATCCTAGCCCCTAAAAAGGAAAAGAAAATCAATAGCTGCAAACTACAAGAGGATCCTTTTCTCAACCCATATATGCATTTTTGTACGTATATGTGTATACGTAACAATGCCGTACCTAGTGCACAATTACACATCAACGGCAAAGGGAAAATTGTTGAACATAACTTCCGAAAAAAAAAAAAAAATTTGTTGAACACAGGATAACCCAACAAGAATTAAATCCACTGTACACTGAAAATGGGCAACACCCATAAATGGGTATTTCTTGAGTCATAAAGAGTAAGCCTCTTAAAGGAAAGGGGTATGGGAATTTAGAGGTCTCAAACCCTAAAGAGTCCATTCAGGGAGAGAGAGAGAGAGAGAGAGAGTCACCAGCAACATCCTGAGCATCATAGACACCACGATGAACGGTGCCAAAGGTACCACGAGCAATGACAGTTTTGATGATGAGCTTGGAAGGATCGATTTCCCACTCATGTCTGGCGGTGGGCCTCTCTTCTTGCTGTTCCTTCTTCTTTTTCTCCATAGTCCATGCTCTGCTCAGATGCCTCTGAAGCTGTTCGTCCAAGCTCTTCAGATCTATCTGATCTGCCCTCACAAAACCATCACTTCCCTCCATCTCTCTCACTCCAGACTCTCTCTCCTCTCACTCTCTCTCTCTCTCTACACAGTACTAGAGTAGTATTTATCTGTAAAACCTTATCATGACAATACGAACAACAATGGAGATTTGAATGATGAAGAAACGGGCGAGACAAAGAGTAACTGACGGTGTTGAAGATTAAAGCAATTCTGACTCGGGAATCAGAAAAGTGAGAGTCGTTACATAATTTTGTTTGTTTATATACAAATACAATACATGGTCATGGACTCATGGCGTGTGCTCTGCCGCTCGGCGTCTCTCTCTCTCTCTCTCTCTGACTTTCTATCTCTAAATCATCCATGTGTGCACATGGATCTCGACGTGTGTCTCTGGCCCACCTTGGTCTCTTCTCTTCTACCCCGCCCTCTCATTTAATTTATGCAGAACACTCCAACTCAAACACACACACAGGTGAAAAAAAAACACACACACACAGTCTAATCCATCTACATTATGTATGTGTACTGCTTTTTTACGAAATCATGTTGGTTGCACTTAGTTTGAAATTGAAATGAATTGAGTGGGACCATTCGTATTGAACTCATTCTTTCGTCAGTTTAGTTGAGATTTAACTTTATATTTGTGATGGAGTTTAAAAAATTGAATTCCAATGGGCATTACATATAAGTGCCTAGCTCGCCAGTGGCTTGAGTCCCTTGTGTTTTTTTTATTTATTAGAATTTAAAATAAAAAAATTAGATATTAATTTTTAAAATATACTACTATAATATTAAAAAATTTAAGAACCTAAACCTCCGAGTATTCGATAAAATAAAAAAATAAAAAGAACTTTTTTAAGTATTCAAATTAATTCATCGTAAACTAAAAATTATTTTGACAATTTTTGAATTTGAAGTGTTTAGAGTTTAAGAACACGTCCAGTCTCTCTCACTTTAGATTTTATATTACATCAAGTTCACATTTATTTTTAAATGATACGCATTATCCTATATTAAATACACAAAATTTATAATAAAACACAAGAATTTTGCAAGATTTATTATTATTATTTTTTTAAATGATGAAAGTGTAAACCTCTTACAACACTTCATAAATCACTTCTGAATTGTTCTGACATAACATTCCATAATTCAGTGTTGAATTGTTAGACACATATAATCATTGCAAAATAAAACAAAGAGATATGATCCAAAAACTCTCCATTTAATTAATACATTAACTTAATCTCTATCACTTGTAGTAGTGAAGTATATATCTAACGAAGTAAGACTCCCACGGATTCTTCTATTCATTCAAGCTCTTTGATTTTAAAATCATTTCATAATTAATGGTGTTATTTCTATTAAAACGTTAAAAAAAGCCATCCGTTTTTTTTTTTTTTTTTTTTTTTTTCTTATTTTTACATTTTTTATGACCACTCATCACATTTGATTATCATGTATACAAAATATACTTCATTATTTTTATAAACATGATCGATCACAAGTGTTCCATCAAGTATATCACTTCAGCTCAATCATCTTAAGAGTGTGTTTGATTACATAAAATTAAAATTGAAAATTTTTAATATTTGAAAATAACAATTAAAAAAATTAAACCAATATTTCTTCAAATTCTACCTATATCAATTTCAAAACTCACACCCTCGTAATTTAGTGCATGTTTGTTACATCTGTTTTCCATCCATCCCATCCCAATATTTATTAAGGAGGCTTAACACCATGAAATGACATCTTGCCATAAAAACAAATTATAAAAAATCCATAATTTATAGCCCGAAGATAATATTAATATATTATAAATAAGAAAGTCTAAACCCCAAAACTATACAAATAGCGCAAAGAATGTCTGGGGGAGGTCACTCTATTATTATCATAATTTTTTTGTAATTTTTTATGCAACTTAGTCTTTGCTCCTATGAATTAGTTTAACAATTTGTTATTTAACTATGGTCAACCACGAAATCAGCAATACCAGATAATAGAACAACATTCGTCACCTGGAAGCAAGTGTTGCACTTTAATTGAAACATTTGTACACTTTAAACGTCATTCCTCAATATCTATATATTTATATGAAATTATGAATCATGATATTTTCAAGCTGCATTGAATTAAGATCAACTCCTGCTTTACGTTTTGTATCACTTACGTAACTTAATATAAATTATTATGTAAATATAAGCTATTTGAAATTGTTTCAACTGATTGATTCACTATAACAATATATCAATTCAGTTGATTGATTCCCTGTAAGAATCATTTTCTTATTTATATACTTGTAAGAATATATGATATCCAATTATTGTTACTTTTTATATTGTTAATTTGTTATAAAATTAGTAGTGGTAATTGTCCGAATTTATTATTTATAGAGGAAGTGTCATTTTAAAAGTCAAAAAGATTGTTTGCACAAACCTTCCTATTGGAGTATTTTGTGTGTATGTGTGTGTGTGTGTAGATTCTTCCTTCAATAAATTCGGTGGTTTTGTTGATGAAAGAAAAGAGTGTTTAGGGGGTCAAAAGATCCAATGTCTTTGCCATTTTTGTGAAAATTTAATTACATGATGGTACTTTTTAATACGAAATCGTACAGGCTGTGTTTGGATGAGGACAATAACTATAGAGGGAACATAATATTTGATGTGGGGAAGTTTGGATATAGAGACAATCTAAGCTAAACACATATCCATTCAACCACTGTGTGTAGGAAATGAGAGTGATCCCCACAACCGTTGGGTACAATCGGTGCTTATCAAATGACATTTCAGTAAGAAAATGAGAAATATTCATTGTACCCTTAAATCTCCAACTTCTTTTCAAACTACAATTTAATTGAATTTATTTTTTTAAATTAATATTTTATGTTTGACGTTGCTGTTAGACGAACTAAAAGTGACTTTGATTTGAAAATTATCCTCTCACACACACACACACCTTTAGTAGGAGAGATTTTGAATTAATATAGCTTTTAGCCAAGGTTTATCTTTATATAATATCTCGATTTATTTAATGCTAACAATGTTGTGGGACACATGAATGTTGTCCAATCTTTTAAAAAACAATCTATTTTATTATCAGATATCACCTGGTTCACTTTTTTGAAAAAGTTACTACCAAAAACTCTAAAAACTAGAGAATTACAAAAAACAATTAACTGATATCAAACATTCTTTTAAGAGAATTATGGGGAAACAGTTTTCAAAAAACTAAAACCAATTTTTTTTACCATTTTCTGATTTTCTAAAAATAGAAAAATGTTTCAAAAAAATTGAACCAAATAACTTCACTCGCTTTCTAGTACTTCCCTCGTCCACTTGAACGATGACAGGACATAAGAAAATGAAAGGAGATGATTTAATATAAGCTGGTAATCTAAACACATGCTTTACCCTCCATTTTGCTTGAGATAATATATATATATATATTTACCGTGCATGAAAAAAAAATAACCCATCCGAACAACTATAGACCAGTTTTAACTGTGGACTTCGATCACCATCCATTTATATAGCCACTATACAAGAACAAAGATGAACTAAAAAGTCTAATGCTCCAATAGCTTTCTCTGCAACGTGGCACCTGACATGACATCAATAAAAATGTTGAGTTCATATAATAGCTTCGAGTCGGTGCAATACTCTGGTCAAAATTTTATGGTGAAAGAGACAGGTGGTATCTGCTACAAAATTTATGACAATTAAAGCAGTAAAAAGAAGAAAACTATTTTTTTTTTATTTTTTATTTTTATTTTAAAAAAAACACACACAATTTTTGCAGTCCAACATGTTTCACATAAATTCAGTCCTCAAGCACCGACAAGAGAAGCAACATGGAAAATGTTGCAACCACACACTATCATAACAGAAATTCACTTCACATTTGTTGATCCATTATAACAGAGCTTGGTCAGGACTTAGTAGTACTATCCTCTGATAGTCTATCCATAATCATTTCTCCTTCCCGAAAAGGAAGAAAAAAAAGCTCGATTTTTCCTTTTTAGTCAATTCAAATTTATGAGAATAGTTTTCTGTTCCTACAGAGTTAGGGGGAAAAAACAGTTCATTTATTTTGACAATACTATTAATACTAATTTATAAAAGTTTAAAAAAGTCAATTTTCAAAGAACAGGAACATTTTATTTGCAATCTGCTTTCAAGAAATCTTTTCATCCCTCCGACCTTTCTTTCTCAACTACTCTTCCCCTAACACACGGAGCAAGGAAACAATAACAGTTTCACAGGAACTGGGTCTTGCCATAAATCAGCAACAGCATTATCATTGCTGCTGCTGCTGCTTTACGCATCCACTTGCACGTGAAGCCTAGAGGCAACACTCATTTTCGACTTCATGAATTTATCTGCCGCCTAACAAGAGCACAGTAAGTGTCACGGGCCAAAATAAATTCCCGTGATCCGAATTCACAACTCTTCCAGTAACCCCCTACTCCAGAAGAAAAGAAAAAAAGTCAACTCCTACATTACATTCTATCCAAGACAGGACCACACAGGTGACTAGTTCAAATACCGTCCCTATGAGATAAATCCACTACAAACTAAAATTAAACAAAATCAATTTGTTCAAGAAAAAAGAAAAATTAGCAACATACCTAACGCAACTTAACAATTAGCATTACCTTACAAAAGCTACTCACTTCCAATATGTACTCAAAGACAAGTTCCACCGTCCATGGGTACTAATTTTTATCTTCTCCAGAATACAAAATAGTAGTGATTACTTGAATCATAGTCACGTTCACCCCTAATCTAATTCACCTAGGAAAGCTATCATTGTTGTGGTGCAGATGTTAGATCACACTTCGTACAAAGCCATGTGTACAAAGCTTACAAAAATTTGGGGGAGTACTAAACCATACTTCATCATATCATTAAATCTAAGGGAAAAATGTCCCTTAAATTTCCAGAACTATCAATTAATATGGAATAAAACCACCTATACTTTTGTGCAAACCTACAAATTACCCCAACGTTATTTTTTATTAGAAAATGAAAAAAAGAAAAAGAAAAAGAAAATGTATCTTATATTTTGATCAATATGTCCTTTTTAGTAGAGACTAAATTAGACAAAAATAAATGGAGGGATCTATTTGGGTTTGAATAAGGGGAAATGAGCCGATTTATTTCAACAGTAATCATAGGATTTTAAATTAACTTTGGAAAATAATTTATTTCAAAATCATTTTTTCTTTTTTATTCATAAGGGCAATAATGATAATTTTGTTACTATAATGACTGCTAAATGATGAGAAGGAGGTCCTTTGTAAATTAGACAAAGTTCAAGGAAGTATTTTGCATTTTGCTCTTAAATCTATCAAAACTACAAGAGACATGGGTTTTACAATCCTCAGAACTGGGTTTACATATAGGAAGTAAGCCCTTTAACATCATAACTAGAGAGAATTGAGACAAAACGGCAAAAGAACACATGGTGTATGGCATATAAACTGCATTAATACCTTTGTCTTGCAAACTGGAAATTCTATTTGTTTTTGACAAAAAAAGAGCAAATAGAAGAGAAACAAAGCCCACAAGTTTTACCTCATATACGCCGCTTTTTCTTCTCTGGTGTTGCACATACCTGTGCTTTGATCCCATATGTCTTCAACTGAAAATTTTCGAATGCCTCAGAAACAGCTCCTACCTGTGATGATGAAATGAATCACTCTGTAACTGGCAATTATGTTCATGCAAAGACATGAGAATACCACAATATTATATTCTTTCACAGACCAGTTCCGGCTTTTTGGAGTACACCCTCACAATCATATCTTGATAAGATGTTGGCAGCAAGTGGCTAATGCGATCATCGGGTATTGAGAATTTTTCCTCGCTCTCATAATCCTGAATTAAAAGTAGAGCTGTTAAAAGCTGCATTGTTAAAGTAATTAGACAAGCACACAAGCACAGAGAGAGAGTCTGTAAAGCATGTCTCTGCAAATGTATACAATGAACATCTCTTTACATTGAAGAAGCTCCCTCAAAGAAAACATATTAGTCTTTCAACTTAAACTTCTGTTGAAAACTAATATAAATTGCACTCAATAAAATGAACTTTGGCATCAGTAAGCATTTGAACCGTTTTGCTTCAGAGAAATTGTTAAAGCATGAATCATTCTCATTCAGTAGTAGATAACATTATATTATAAAAAGGAAGTGAACATTCAGGAGTTCAATGTGCAAAACCAATCCAATTTTTCCTAGGCATGGTGCCATTTTCTGAGTATTAACAGTAACGTGCATGAGGGCTTGTTGGTTGATTATAATCACGCAACTCATACATTTGCTAAACAGACTATACCGTCCATACCCTGAATTCATAATTTTAGATATAGTGTTTCACTGTTTCTAAATGTCCTCAATGGTAAAATAACCCACAATATAGGCATCAAAAATAAAATAAATAAAAGAAAAATAAGAACCCAATGTTTCCAATTGTGTGTACAAAAAAAAAAAAAAAATCTCAAAGGGTTGGGGCAGGTACCATACCTTGAAAAATTTGATCCTAGAAGAGATAATACATGCCAAAAAAGAAAAAAGAAGAAAAATATATCATCAGTTGCAATAATGATGAGAGATAAAAATAATGATTGCTGCACAGTTTATTAAAAAGAATGGAGAGAGAGAGAGAGAGAGAGGAAAAGAGATAGCTTCTTCAAAGTCTGCATAAATGCCTCATCTAATTTTAAGTACCTCTCGAGAGGATTATGCCTTCCATGTGTCAGATCAATCCTGACATTACTAACAGCAACATCCTCTTCTCTTAGTATTACTGCGGCATTCTTCTGTTCAACAAATATCACTTAAATGGAAAATTCTGCCACTATTCTCCTAGCAAAGCAAATCAACTTATGTACATACATGCATATAGCAAAATCTGTACAAATACCTGTGAACAAACAATATCTTGTGCAGTAACATCTTTGAAATTTTCAATTTTGTCCTTTGGAACAGCATACTCATTACAAAACTGCCACAAAGAAAGGCAACAACATAGCTTAAACTTCACCTTATACAATGCATCAGTGTCTACAGACCGCCCTTATCATGAGAGTATCGGACAACAAAAGATACTGATATATTACTGAGCTTAATTGCAAGTGACCAGTAAGTTGAAGCAAACAGATTGCGGGAAGAAGAATCAGAATACCTGATATAAATCCCTCCTCCGGATGCGAAGGATCAAATCCCTAGATTCCCTTAATTCTTGATCTGGAGCAGTCTCAATGGTTTTTATTATTGTGTCATCCAACTATATCTCCAAAAATGAAATAGGACTTAAAATTTCTATAAATAAGCAAGAATTAACTATTCAGATAACAATAATAGACTGCTCTCAAAACCTTCCAATATTGAGAAGGATCCTGGACATGAGATGTAATGTCTAGATAATCATTTGCTTTCAATAGGGCATCTACAACCATGAGCTCTATTGCCTGAAAATAGTAAACACAACATCAAATACCAAACAATATGGATTAAAAAAATATTATTTTTATTGGAATTGCATTAAACAGAAATCTATTAAAAGAAAAGAAGATAGCTGTCACACCTTTACTTTTGCGTGTGTATAAACTGTTCTGTACAAATCAGCACGAGTGGCAAATAACTTATGGATTGTTAGATCTGTAAAAAAATTATCAAATCATAAGCAGAAGAAGGTAAGCAAGAGCAAATGTAACCATTATCAGGGATGGACCTATGTAGGGCTTAGTGGGGGCGGCCGCCCCCACTACCATTCTCTTTATTTATAATGTACCTAAAATTTTGCTACAACTGTAGTAATGCCCATCTAATATTTTGGTAAAACACTCAATACATTATGATCCCCCCCATTAAAATTTTCTTTATATATAACATGTCTAATTTTTTTCTAATATGTTAGCTTGATGATAATAAAAATGGAAGTAATTCCCTAAAAACATAATTGAAATGAAATTATGAGTAATTTAATTAAAATATTAATTAATGTTAAAGGCCTTTCTTTATGGTATTTTGAAATTCTTTTATTTTATTGTGGTTTAAGGCCGCCCCTCAAAATATATTCTGGGTCCGTCACTGACTATGATGAGTGATTTCAAGAGGATACTGACAATCCTTAGCACGATAGCATATCTCATCACCCAACACCCGCATTGTCTCCATTAGCCTGCAAGCAATGAAGAAAAACATAATGAGGCTGGAAAATTTTCTTTTGTTATAATGATTTCCTGTGTTTAACTTAGTTATATATATCTATTAAGAAATTCTAACAAAAACCTCTGGAACTGAAAGTTGCATCCTAGACCACAGGCACGACAGTCACGGACGATGTAATCAAACCTGCAAGTTAATTAAGTTGCCAAGTTATTATTAACCTCATGTAACAACACAACATTTACAAAAACGAAACTATGACATTCCAATAAATATATACATATATATGTGCTTAACTGACTTGTCAACATCGATTTCATTTCGACCATTTGCAACAATATCATACAAGAATTGCTTCTCCCTTGTACTCTACATATTACATGTGCAAAATAAAGATTAGACAACCATGCATGAACCGGAAGGAAGATGATGAAACAAGAAGTAAAAGCATTAGAAAAGTCAAAAAGGCTCCACCAAATGTTGAATAACATATGCCATTAAAATGGAGTGTTAGTAAGACTTACTTTTGGCAGAGTGAATTCAGAGCTAGCGAGAATCATTTCCTACCAATGATAAATATAATTTAAGGTCAGGGAAAGATAATTAGATTCTAATACATGATAGGAATGTACCAGTTTACTCTATTGGAACTTCTATGTAAGTAGACAGCCAAAAACAAACAATTCGTTAGGATCAGAGCAAAGTTAATAATAGAACACTGGCAAAATGGAGTTTCAGGCCTCCAAGAAAGAATGTTGTATACATTCTAAATAAGGATTATGCAGCCACCATCAACAAATTTCAGCTATCACAATTAAAAAGAAAAAGAAAAAGAAAAAAACTCGCTGAAAACATGGCATGCTTCAATTCCATATCCCCTCTCAATGTAGCTGATCGCATAAAATCTTCAAACCCATTATAACAAACTATTATTTTCTTCAATTGCTTCAAGTTGCATATTATAATTTGTACTCCAAAAAATGTATAAGATGACTCTTACAAATAACTGAGATTCTATATAATCAATACACTCATCATTCCATTGAAATGATAAACTACTTTCTAACTTCAAATTTTACTTTTGTAAAAAGATACAAGAGAAATAAAGTGATAATGTCAATGCATATGTTGTAATAGTTCAAGCCAACTATAGACTTCTGAATTAATAGACCTGAAAACAAGGTGCACCAATCTCTAAAGGATGAGCTTTTGCACTGGTTAGTTATTGCTAAACAAAAATGAAAGATTCAAAGGAAGTAGAAATGAGTTTGATTCCCCAACTGAAGTTATTGGTTTTGATAATGCCATCACATGAATACAAGCTTGGATTGAGATAGAGTATGAAGCGATGAACAACATGTAATACTGCTAGTATTGGTTATTTGCCTACTGAAATGATATCATAGCAAGAACATAACACGACTATAAAGAGCCAAGTCCGAGACCATATGCAACATCCCCATGAACATAATTTCTTTTAAATGAGGTCACTGAAACCATCAACAAAATCTAACAACTAGCTAATACCAGTTTGAGTACATAAAGAGATCTCTTACAGAAAATATCTCAATAACAGATACTACAATAATATTAATTGAAAATAGAATATGACAAACTTACCAACTCATGATAAGGTATATTTCCATATCCACTAAACATTTATGTAATTCTTGTGCATTAATTTTCATGTTACAAACCATTATTGCTGCTAAAAGAAAGGATATTAGACATTGTTCAACACTTAAACCTTAATTGTATCACCTTACCTTAACTCTTTTAATGGTTTCAGAGTCGATCTCAATATGGTGATTATCGACAATATGGTCAATCATCTTCACTGACATTTGCTCATGTGACCTAAAACGAACACATTTAACATAAAATTAGTGTAAGTTCTACCAGATAAATGATTAACAAAAAGGCAAATTGTAAAGCACAAATTGGATTTTGAGCTTGTAATTGAAAACATTATTTAATTAGGGTAAATTACACTAACCTCCCCTCCAGTTATGTGAAATTACATAGACCACCTCCCCCCCCCCCCCCCCCCCCCCCCCCCCGCCCCCCCCCCCCCTCTCCTCACTTCTCTATATTAAAAAATAATAAAATAAAATAAAATAAAATAAATAAAATAAAATAAAAAACAGTACACTTGCTACTCTTGATGGTTTGGGCTGGTCATCATTGAAAGTTTCTTAGGTCAGCAAAAGTTTACTTGAAGCTAAAGCACATCAGATTGTTTAACCTTCAGATGATCAAATCATGAACAAGGAGATCATTAAGAAATCTAGAATTATCACAGCCTCAAATAACTCTCTATTTTTCTAAATGGAAAATAAAATTTCATCAATGAACAAATGATTCCTTGTTGTTAAAGATCCAATAAGGGAAAGAAACAATATGCTGGTTGTTGACCTCTCCATATAAGGCACTGTATTCTTCTAATATACTACTTTTTTTTTTTCCCCCAATTTTTACTCTTTAAATTGGTGCCTTGAAAGATATGAAAAACTAATCAGCTTCCAAAAAGAGATTGTTAAAGTTTGAAACAGCACTTTAAAGGAGAGGTTACAAGTACACTTTCAAAAAAAAAAAAGGAGAGGTTACAAGTAGAGTGGAAAAAAAATTAAATACAATCACTAAAAGAAGGACAACCTTACCTTTTCTGATTCTCACTAGCCAGTTCTATATTAAAAATGAAGCAGAATAGAGTACTATTTTTCGGCTTGAACCAAAAATTCTCCTGATGTCCCTGGTATATTCTAAGAAAAAAGGAATATTACATTCTACTGAAGGGTGTAAAAAAATTACCATTTGGAGCCATTGAGAACCCGTGGAAGAAATCCACGTTCAAACAAGTGACTGAAAGGCCCGTGGCCTACATCATGCAAGAGTCCTACAAATTTAAGCAATAATATAAGGATCAAATAACTTGATATAAGGGCAGTTTACAAAATATAATGATAGTTACCCGCAAGTTTCACTGTTTGTACATCAAAGCGATCAATATCAAGCTCATAGCCCTGCGGGAATAGCAGGCATGTAAACAAAAAAACCCTCAAATATTTTTCAGATTTTAATTAAAATGATTAATGCACGCAGTTTCCATACTTGGTGACTTTTAATTTTGTGAACAGCTTCACCAGCAAGCCAATACACCCCAAGAGAATGTTCAAACCTGGAATGTACAGCCCCTGGATAAACCATGTGTGCCAAACCTGGAAATACACCCAAAAAAAAGTTTGTTGTAAAACAAATTTAAACCTTTCCAAGAAACTCAACAGATAATGTATTAGATACTCCATGCTCAGAATACCTCATGTACCATTTAATATCAAATCCATCCACATGGTCTTGTACTGAGTGTTACACAAGGAGTAAAGGAGAAAAAAAAATAAAAAATAAAAAAAATAAAAAATAAAAATGAAAAGAGATTCTCTATCCATAAGCAATTTAGCATATATCATTTCCAATACATAAGCAAAGAAGCTTCAAACTCAGAGGAATTGATAACATATAATTGATCATAGCCATGGTGGGTGAGAAGCAAACCATAAAAGTCAACAAACGTTTCTTATATAGGCTATTCATATCCTCAACTAGAAAAGATTAGAGAAGATATGAACAAGAAAGAGTGAGTTATGAGAGTGACAAACGCAATGAGAATTTTTTCTCTTAGCTTTCTACCTTAGCTAGTAAGGAATAGTTCTAGTTTTAGAAGTCATTGTTAAAGACACCCAGGCTCCCCTTATATGGTGAGAGCAAGGTATCCCAGACTTTTAGATGGAGTAACTAGTTAGGAATCTAGTGCAAGTATGTATTCAAGCATTGGGCACGTCAAATTCTCAAACAAAACGACACGAGAACACTACTAAATATTCATCCTATTTAATATTTTTATTTACTTTCTAGATTAAAATAATGCTGCTGTGTAACATAGTGTTCGATGCATTTCATTTTGAAGCAACGGTACAATAAGGTGCATGTTGAACAAGAAACATTAGACACATCAGATACCCATGTCCAAATATTGTGTGTCCAACGCATACTTCAACTACTATTGAAGAGTCCCTGTAACATAGTTAACAACTCCCAATATTATGCATTACTCTCAAAAATAAAAACAAGTGATGTT